GAGGTGCTGGATCCTGCGCCTCCCTCCATACTTCCCCAAAGGGTCCATCTGGCTAAATAAATTGTCATGTTTAATGCTCAAAATTTGGAAGATGACCATCTGGTCACTTTTTCCGGTGTTACTTACACACTGACTCACGAGAAGGACCTTCCAAGGCCTCCCTCACAAGGCACGGCTGATCAGATGTGATTTCAGAAGCCACTTACTTTATCTCCCACAAGGCATGATTGGCTGTCACGTGTCCCCGGAAAGTCATTCTGAGGCAGGCAGGCACAGGGCAGGCAGAGGGGCTGGGGAACCAGGAGGCTGGCAGGCCTCCCAGCCCCCAGCAAATCTTTTTGCTCTTTCTTCGGGCTCTCTCTGCATCGTCTCGTGGTCCTGCCTCTCTGTAGTCACTTGTCCTATCGTTGCCCTCCCGCCGTAGCCACCTCGCCGTAGCCATTCTCTCCCGCAACCATCTCTGGGTGATGCTGCCCTTATAGCCTCGGCCGCCAGGCTCAGGTGTGCCCACTCATGCGTGCCCCGTGCCCACGCTCCCAAGCGCCTCCTGCATTAGCACAATCAAGGCCTCAGGTGTACCCCGGAGTTGTCCTTTTCCCGATTAGAAAGCTCCTGATTGCAATGGCTGGAAAATTACACCGCACCCCTGAAAACGTTCATTGGGCCCTTTTTCCCTTTGAAAGGGACAGAATGAATGCAGGCTCCCTTCTTTGCTACATCCCTGCAAATTGATCATGTCAGCGATTACCCTAAGTCTTCTCTCTCTCTAAATAAACCCCTTCCACCTATTCCTGACATGCTGGGGTTTGGGGGCTGCTCACCCTTTGGTGACTACTTCTGGGGACCCTGGTTTGTCATTGACCATGTTCAAATGCTGTTTCCCAAACTTGTATCAAGATTCCAAATGTAGCCACACCCACCCCTGAGAACAGAGGGGGTTACCCTCCTCCACTCTGGGGGGTGCAAAGTGGCTCAGATTACAGGGCAAGGTTTTCCACTTCCCTTGCAGACCAGTGGTTCTTAGTGCTTTTGCTTTCTTCTTAAATTCTGGCATCTTCTTCCCATGAGCCTCCATCGGGCCAGTTCGTCCCCGTTTCTGTTAATGGTTTGAACAAACAACTCTGGATGTTTTTGTAAGATGTGATCAGCTTACTTCAAACAGCAGATTTTTGAACAATTGAAAAACAGAAAATTGCTCAGGGCATGGGGATTCTGAAGAATGAAAGTGTAATCATCACAACATTATAAGGCCCATGGGAAGGGACAGACGTGGCATCTCAGAACCCCGGACGCCTGGCTGAGAGCCTGAGAAAAGGCCATGTGCCTGGAGAGGGAGACGTTGTAGGAAGCGTCCAAACTGGGACTGGAACGATCACCGGAAATTTGCTTTCAAAGAAATGTGGAGAGCAAATGTAGCTGCAGCGACGCGAGGTGGGAACATGTGGCTTTATCAGGGACCTGGCAGTGGAGTCACGAGGTCCTGAGTGGGTGGAGGGAGAAGACTCTAGGCAGACCCAGAGGCCGTATTGAGGAGGCCTTAAGAATCTCGGGACGGCTTAGATTTTGTCCTCTGGGTTCTGTTCTGAAGATATAGGAGTGAGAATGACTCAAGAATCAAGAGGATGTTCTGTAGGTTTGTCACTTCTTTGACTTAATTTCATAATCTGCCATTTATAAAGTCTTCAGGTTTTTGACTGAGGGGCTACTATGAGCAAAGTGGTTCATTGATCTAGACTCTTCTCTGTTGCAGCCAGAAGATACCTGAAATGCCTGCAGATGTTGTGGGTGCCCTTCTGTTCCTGGAGGATTATGTTCGGTACACAAAGCTACCCAGGAGGGTAAGCAGTAGTTAAGAGTATCAGTGACCTTTTGTAAAATGACTGAGGAAGTTAGAGCAGGCCTGAGGTATCACTGGCCAAGAAACATTTGCAAAGATGTTCCAAGAACAGTTTAAATAACAGTAATGGCAGTTTCCACCCACAAGACTGGTAAAGTCAGGTATTGGGCCCCAGTGCTTGGAAGCCTTTGGAAAATGGGCCTCATGCCTGTCAGTGGACTTGTAAACTGCCTGTCCATTGTCAAAGGCAGTTTGGCTTGATTGATGCAGAAGAACTTTTACCTGTGCTGGACTCCAGCATTTCCACTGCTCGGAATTTACCTGTCAGCTATATGTGCAAAAGTTCACCAAGATATACATGCCAGGGTGTTCGTAAGATTTAGCAAAGGTAAAGGACACAAGACCATGTGACCCTGTTTTTGAGGGTGTGTGTGTGTGTGTGTGTGTGTGTGAGCGCGCGCGTGTGTGTAACTGGAGGAATTCAATATAAAATAATTAGCAGTTTTAATTTCCCCTAAGGGATTGAAATTAGATATTTTTTCTTTATACTCTTCTGCATTTGCTAATTTCTTCTAATGCGTAGTAAATCATTATAATCAGGAAAAAATTTAACACTGCTTTTAAAAAAATGCCAATTTTCAGCACGTAGAGATCATGTAGTTGTACATTCCACCCCGTGCACCCCACTCCACCCTTCCCAGGGTTCCCCCCAGGAATGGTTAAGGAATACGTGCCTGCCTTCCAAGGCCTTCCCCTCTAGCCTTGCCTGACATCATGTCCTTCCTCAGTTGGAAGCCTGGGAGCTCCAGAGTCAAGGGGCCAGGAGAGCACCCCCAGGTGTTAGCAACCCCAATCTGAGGGCACCAGAAGCAGAAAGCAAAGGTGGCTGTTCAAGGAGCATCTCACCCCTTCAGTCCTGCGCTTTGTGGTGATTTGCTTTGCTCCAAAGGCTAGCCTCGTGTCCTTACCCAGAAAATTTTGGATTTGCTCTGTATTGTAACTTTGTGAATAATTTGCCCTGTTTGATTTATTTTAGGTTGCTGAAGCACATGTGCCTAATTTCATTTTTGATGAGTTCAGAACAGTCCTGTAATGTTTTTTGACTTCTGCTTCTTCGATGAAAGGATGATCCTTAAATCTTCCCACTCTTACCAAAATGAATTGAGATGAAAAGAATCCCAACTGCTCATAGAACTGCATTTTCCCCTTTATTGTGGGAAACATCAGACATCCTGAGTAAGATGTACCTCCCCGCACTAGTTAACATTGTTTAAATCATGGTATTATATGCAATTTATATCATGTAGAAGCAGAACCATTTTTGTACTCCCTCTTATAAATGCTGAATGTAATTTTTATGTATAAACCCACTTTTTTGTTCTAAAGAACTATTTGTGCAACTCCAGATTTTCAGTAAAATAGTATTGCCAGTACCCAGAGTTGTGCTTCTGCTTGTGATTCACAAATTATTCATCCTTTCACCTTGCAAAACACCTTGTTAGGAAGAGAGGAAGCTGGCAGGCCCGATGGACACACCCCGACAGGCTGGCAGGTACATGGTAATGGCACTCAGCACATGTAGGGACATGGAATCCATGGAACGTGAACCAGTTCTGTGGTGCCTGAGGTTGAGCAACCACTTCTGAGCCCAGATATTTTGGGGGTTTCCCAGGATCCCTTCGCCGAACTCCCTAATTATAGCTGCTGCTTTCTCAGCAATGGGTGGTGGTGCACAAGCACAATGTTAGCCCTGTAAGACCTCCCCGCCCCACCCCCGCAAATGGCTTGGCCATTAGCTTTTCCCTCCCCCACCTCCAAATCCTAAATCACTTCTGCATGAAAATTACCCCAAAAAGAGAGCTGCCATTCTATTTGTCTCTTGGATAAGAACAAGATGTTTTAGCCCCATCCATGTAACACAATCAAGGCCCCAGGTGATAGCCACGACCTCCTCTGGAGGGGAGAGGACATGCAGAGTCATTACAAACTAGAATGTGAAACGTGCCATCAAGTGGCAAGGAAAGCAGGTTCCGAGGCAGTGTAAATCCCGGTTCTGCCACCACACTTTGTCCTAACAACCTGTTGGCATCTTCGGTGAAGTCAGGCCTAAATGACTTCTCAATTTCCTTAATTTTCTGATTTTATGACATTTCTTTTGTCAGAGATCTCAAATCCTAAAATACTGAAGGGATTTTAAAAGCACCTGGTCAGGAGAGGGAAGGAGGCCCATCTGGATGAGGCCCAGGTAGAATTTTAAAAGTAGATTGTTGCCAGGCATGTAAGGAAAGGGAAATCTCACCCTCTGGTGAGGCTGGTACATGGGAAATTAGCTAGTGCGTCCATGGTCATCCCACATTCACAGCTCAGTAATAGCTTAGTTTCCATTTGTAGCAAGGTAACAGTAACTGCCTGAGGTAGACGACTTAGCTCTCAGTGAAAATGGCCCCACAGAAAGCCAGCTGCTATTAAAAAGGCCAGATCTAAAAAACTGAGTTTTTAGCCAGAAAATAGAAGCAGGGGGTAAATTACAGGGAAAAATCTTGAGCCTCAATTCAAAGGAGTCCATCCACCCTGTCAGTTAAAATAAGGCAAAGTGACTCCACAGCTGATTCCACTAGTGTTCTGGTTAGTGCAAGTGTTTCTCAACTGATAGAAGCTGAGGAAGAAATCATCACTGTAAAAGCTTTTTAAGTCATTTTAGCTGTAAGCCTTAGAATCTGAAGTAGTTACAATTGTGATATTTGGGGATTTACTAAAGTTTCCTGATCCCCTTCTAAATGTCCCTATCTCTTCAAATATACTATACACTCAGTAAATTCTAACTGATGTTACAATACTGTGTCAGTACAAGTGCCTACCTGTTCACTCACTGATTCCTGGGCTAACACTAGCCTGGCTTATTAGTATAAGTGGAACTTACAAAACCGTTGGTTGCTTTCTTGTGTGAATATAGTATTTTCAAAGAACTCCAAAAAGAAACATGTCAAATTGCCTCACTGGATAAATGAGGAAAATAAGGCCCAGGAATGTTAAGGCATCTTCCCCAAAGTCGGTCATTTGACAGAAGAACTTCTCTCTCCATTTTTCTATCCCGCTTGGGTTTTCTTTTCCATTATGGCGAAGCTTTGTAAAGAAGACCATAAGAAACAAAAAGACAAGTGTGTTCTTCATTTTATTTGCATATACCACGACTCACCCCAAATAATGAATTAAAAAAAAAAAAAAACCCACAAACCTGCACTTCCTCAGTGTTAGCACGAATTTATGGAAACAATCATTTCTTTTAAATATCTACTGATTTTACCCTTCATTTTAAAATTGTAAATCAAAGTATATATTTACATGTTTATATACAAAAAACTTCAAAAACAATCCCAATCTTGGTCCCAGAGTTTCCACTTTGGAAGTGGTATATTACTACGCTATACACATCCTCTTCCAAAAGTCTCCTAGGACCCTGTGAGTTCCAAATATTCAGAAATGGTTCCCCGTTAAGATTAATGATTCAAGTGCTTAATTTCTGAGTAAATCAGAGGAAATATTACAGAACACGCTCTGTAGAACACAGCACCACTACTGATAATGGCTCGAGGTTTTGTAATCCAAGGTTCAGATTTAAAGCAAAAATATGTGGCGTAGAATGCAACACCAAAGAAATGTCCAATTAAAACCAGCGGGTTAGGAGACAGTCTGTAACAGGGGAAAAAAACAAAAGCATATGTAAGTCAGAGGCAGAAATTTCTGCTCACAAAAAGGTTTCAATTATGTATCATCTATAAAAGCTAAGCATGCGCATTACATTTTGGAGGATTTTTCTGTGAGTCTGATGGCAGAGACAGACAAAAAAATTATTTTATAAGGAACTATTTAGAATACCCCTATCAGAGAAGATAGTAACTCCTCTTAGCCTAATTTACATACAGTGTATGTTTTTAGCTCTTTCAGTGACCTTGAGATGCCGGTTGACCCGGATGGCCACAGGGCAGTCTAGGGTTTTCAAAAGGTGATAGGATTGATATTCAGAGTATAAATGAATGAAAAAAGACATCAAATATTTCACTTTCCAGCTTTTTCAATAGTAAGTCTACACGTCTGCACCATCAAAAATAGTACTAGTTTTTTAAGCGTCTGCATTTTAATCAAATTTTAAATAAATTTGATTATCTATGACTCTTCGGAGGTTAGAACGTGTGGATATAGCCACAGGAAAAAAGCAAGTTTCCATTTCAGTCAAGGCTCTCAGCCTCATTCACCACCAACTTCTAATCAATGCCGTTTCCCAGAAGTAAAACACAGGACTAAATAATGCTGTCTCTCTTCATTTCTCTGGGCAACCTTCTGATGGGAATACTTATGGTGTAGGGTAAGGAAAAATGTCAGGCTTTTCTGCCCTCCCGCCATCAGGATAGATGATGGATCCTTGCGGTCCTGAATGCATGCCTGATGGCGGGCACCTGGAGTAGGGTGTGGGCATAGGTGTGCTTTTTAAGGGCAGCATCACGGGGATGCCAGCAGAAGTCGAGAACGAATAGAAGCAGAGAGAGAAGCAAAGAAGCAGAAGCAGAGATCATCACCAGAGAGCCCAGATAGAGTGAAGACTTGCTGGGGGCTGGGAGGACTGCCAGCCTCCCGCCCCACCCCCCGCCCCAGCCTGCTGTGTACCGGGTAAATCCCGATAAAAGACCTGCAAAAGCCACTGAGGACTCTGACTCCTCCTTTACCCGGTCTGCATGGGATCCTAGAAAACCTGCCCTGTGTCCATTCCTGCCTCTACACTGAAAAGCCACCTTCACCGTCTGCTCGGATCATAGAGATCCTGCTCCATGTCCTCCTGCCGTCACATATGGGTAATAAAATGTCAGATGTAATTCATAACCTGAATAGTCCTAAGACAATCTAGAATATCTATTTCCTCTGTATTATCAGACCAACTTACACAGAAAGCAGCCCCACAGGACCAGCAACACAGTTTCCGCCGAGTTTGAAATAGTAAAAACACGCTTTTCTTAGTTGATGCAGGGAATCTGAAACAAAATTTAAAAATTACTCTCAGTGAAAATACTCACACATTCATGTCAGCATTAATGACACAGCAGGGGAAAATAAAGCTGTAACAAGGACGAGACCATACAATTTTTACTAAAAACCTGGCCCTGACTTTCAAAAACCCAAATTTCTCTTAAATTCCGTAACCAACATTATGGATAATAATGTAAGTGTGAATAAAATTTTTTCAATTAGTAAATAGTTACTATACCAAAAATGTAGGTCTTGGAAGTTATTTAAAAGCTATTTCCTTGATTATGTTGTAAATTCAATAAACAATGCAAAACATTCTGTCAACTCTTTTGTTATAAAATTATAATTCTGGAAATCAAAATTCCAGTCTCTAAGATGCCCAACCCATATTTCCCAGCAGTCAAATTATCAAGTAAAAAGAGCTGTAAAATAGCAAATAATACTGCCTATAACTGTATAGTTTTTTATACCTCTCAGAGTAACTCATTAAACCCTCAAAACATAGCAAAACTGGTGAATAACTTTTTAATTTAATTTTTAATTTTTTATATTTTTTACATCATTTTTCATTTTTGCACAATGTCTGCATTTTCATTTTGGTTATAGTCCCCATACAATTCCCACCACCCTTGTTTTAATAGCTTTAAAGCAAAGTTCTTAGGTATGCCTAGAATACTCTTTACAAAAGATAAAAAAAAAAGGATGCAGTAGGTAAACTTATTCCAATAAAGCTATTTCCACCTCTAATCTTTCATAGCTTTTCTTATGCTATTTTGTTAGCAAATTCAAAATCATAATGTAAGAAGCCTAAATGCTTAGAAAAACCCAAAACTTAGTTCTTTGCTTGTTATATGCCCAACCAGTCACTTTTACTTCATACCAATTATTGAGAGATTTGATTGGCAAAGGACAATGAGCTGTTATTTCTTCTAACAAGAATGATGGCCACTGAAGCTACAGAAGCAGGTGTGATGTATCACCCTTTGTGACCCCATCACCAAAGCATAGATCATCTGGCCGGGTGGAAAAATAGCAAATGTCTGAAGTGAGGAAAATTGCCTTATATTTATTTGTGAAAACCTAAAGTTTCATTCCTCTACCATGAACTTATTTTTACATTGCTCAGTTGACTTTTCTTCCATTTCAAAAACTAAGTCATGTTTTCCTTAATATAGTGATTTACTGTCACCGCTTTACAAAATATGAAAACAAAAACAAAAGCGTGGAAATATTTCAGCTGAGGAGAAGATGGATGCATTCTGCTATCTGTGCACTTTACCAGAGATAAAATCTTAATTGATGGGCCTTCCTGGTGGCACAAGGGGTTAAGTCTCAGCACTATCAAGCTATCTGGAGCCACTGCAGCATGAGTTCGATCCAGGCCACAGAGCTGACCCACATGGTGCAGCAGACCTCTCCTGTCTCACCTGCTGTTCACCTCAGCAGTGTATTTCAGTCAATCCGCCTGTTCTGCTCCCCACTCTGTCTGGTGAATCCTCTCACACCACCCCCTGACCCTGCCGCACCTCTGCCCTACACCCCAGCTCTTGGATACATAAATAAATCTTTTTATTTTTTTTTTTTTTAAAGATTTAGTTATTTATTCGTACAAGAGCTGGGGTACAGGCCAGAGGTGTGGGAAATGAGAGGATTCACTAGAGACAGAGTGGGGAACCGAACAGGCAGATGTACTGAAATACACTGCTGAGGGGAGCAGCGGGCGAGGCAGGAGAGGTCTGCTGCACCATGTGGGTAGCTCCCTGGCCAGGGATCGAACTCACACTGCAGCAGCTGCAGACAGCTTCACAGCACTGCACTCAACCCCTTGTGCCACCAGGGAGGCCCCATAAATTAATCTCTTTAAAAATAGATAAATAAAATCTTAATTGATAAGATGCTCATATTCACTTTATAAAATACTCTGATAAGAAACTGAAGTAAGAATTCAAAAAGAGAAAGATCAGTAATTATATTGCCTTTTAAATTCAAGATCAGAAAAATCCTCCATCACAATCTTAAGTATTTGGAGATATGCATGTTCTGACTGGAAAGAGAAATTTAAAATAACGACACATTTTGAGGTACTGCTATTAGGTTTTTCTAAGGGAAGACAACAACACACAAAGTGATGGATCTATAATGACTAGAAGCTAAAAGTCTTGCTAAAGGATGGCGTTAAGAAAACAAAACTATGAACTTGGGAGTTGGCAAATCAGGAAACATTTCCATTTGGCCTAATGACTGATGTTTGTAATTAAGTTTCCTTCCTGTGCTAAAAATCAATAATTCAGTACTGTTCATTAAAAAATAAATATCTCGGGCCTCCCTGGTGGCCCAAGGGGTTAAGCACTGAGCTATGAAGCAATCCGCAGCCTCTGCAGCACGAATTCGATTCCCGGCCGGCCAAGGAGCAGCCCACATGATGCAGCAGACCTCTCCTGGCTCACCCGCAGCCCCCCTCAGCAGTGTATTTCATTCAATCCACCTGTTCTGTTCCCCACTCTGTCTCTGCTGACCTCTCACCCCCTGCACCCTGGTCTATACCTCAGCTCTTGTACGCATAAATAAATTTAATAAATAAATAAATAAACAAATATCTCACCATCTCTGGCAGAAAATAATTCATAAAGAGCCTGAGCAAGGACATTCACAACAAAGGAATGAGATGTTTTTCTTGCCCAATAGAATGATTTTTTGGCCTAAAAAAGAAAAAAAAAAATCACATTATATGGTTTGGAATTAACTACATATAATTATGGTTTATGTTTATCATTTACACACACACACAGATACACACACACAGTATCTCCAGAGCTACATTTACATCACTATGAACAAAGTGGCCCATGTAATCAGTGTTAGTGAAATTAAGAAATTCTGTAAGATTCATAGGTTGCACAAGTCAGATTCTGTAAACCTGAGCAAGACTATTTCAGAGTCATGTCCACGGATAGCTGCGGACATCCCCCAAAATGTCCCATTCCTCTTTAGTCCCAGAAAGAAAGCTATTTTCAGCCATTTTTGTCAAAGAATAATAAATACCTTACCTGCAAAACAGCTGCATCATCATAAAGGTCAGGAATACCCATTAGCAATGTTCTCCATAGTTTTATATCTTTAAAAACAACAGTCATTCCTCCTCCGGTAAGAGGGTGCCTCATATTGTATGCATCTCCCAGGAGGAGGACACCTATAAAGAGAAGAACTTCGAACTTAAATTATGACATCATCTCAGAATAGCCCTTCAGACCAAAAAAAAAAAAAACAACACCGATATGCAAAAATAAACAGCTGATAAAGAATATGAAACCACATGAACAATCATGACTAAAATTTGTCGAGTTAAACATCCAAGAGTTGGTAGAGTTCATATTTACTGGGTACCTCATATACGCTAGGTACTGGGCTATAGTGAACAAGCACAGGATGAAACGCACATGTAACTCTACATTTAGGTCAAAGAATGCCAAAATATTTACAAGGCCTCTGTCATAGAAAAAGGAAAACAATCTATAGGCATCCAGGCATAAAAAGCGCGTCTTCTGCAAGGGAAAGGAAAAAAAAAAATCAGGCAGTCTTTGCCATTTTCACAGCAGGATCCGCTGCGGGATTCTGAAGGGAAAGTCAACACGGTTCTAAGGGAGAGAAAGCAGCTTTAGGAGGATTACTCTACCCAGCGTGCTGGAGTTCAAATTGAAAGGCGACAGGCAGATACTCCAAAACCAACACATTAACTTAAGAGATCAGCCTTGATGAATCTTATCTGAAGATCAGCCCCTTAAATCAAAACTGCAGGAACAGAAAGCTCTGCAGTGTCACCCGGGGCCACCTCCCATCTGAGCTGCCCGACCCTCAGATTCTGGGTCTGCAGCTTTCTGGTTATTGACCTGTGACTTGCAGTGATACTGAAACAAAGCATTTATTTACTTCTGTCGGTGAAAGGAAACCCTTGATAACAGTGTTACAGTAGCAGAAGGATAATTTTTTTTTTCTGTAATGGTCATAATATACTGCCATTTATAACTAATTATAGTATGTATTAATTTTAAAAAGGCAGCTTCTAAATATTAATTCAAAAATTTTATGTAGCATTCTACGACCTTCACTAAAAAGAACACAAACTATAACCAGCTTTTATGCCACCAACTAGGGTATGTTCCCACAGTATGCTGTTTATATCAGTTTGACATTGGCTTTATTCTGCTGTGCAACACAGTACAATTTACACCACTGGTAGTTTTTCATGCACGTTTTTACCAGTACAAAATACAATCTGCGTTAAGTGCAGGAGCCAGAGCATGGCAGCCCCTATCCAAAGCGCTCATCGGAGCGCCACACGCAAGCTGCCAGCGGTGTCCCACATGCCAACCAGCACTTCATACGCAGAATGTCCAAACATGAACTCCTACACTTCCTGAACTTACACCCTTTCCCCGGTATTTCCAATACAGCAAACATCTAGCAAAATCATCTAAGCCTGAATCCTGGAATCCATCGAGAGGCCCCACAGTGCCTTACTACTATATCCAATAAATCACTGAGTTTCATGCTAGATAGTACTCAAATTGATCATCTACTTTTCTTTTCTATTGCCACAGTCCGAGTTTGGGCCTTTCACCGTCACTCACATGGAATAATCGAATAGCTTTATTTTAGACTTTTGTCTGGACTGTCCTCCGAACCATCCTCCACAATACATGAGTAGTATCTCTGGGAATCTAAACATGCCACTACCCTGCTTAAAAAAGTTTTCAATGACCTATTAAAACTACTGAGTTTTGCAAGTTTTCAATATACAAATTAACTATGCAAAACCAACTTTTCTACATTTTCGGGTTCAATGAATAACTGAACAGAAGAAATGTAAGTAAATTCACACTTTGGAAACTACAAGATATTACTGAAAGAAGTCAGCTCTTGCATGTGCACTGATAATTGAATTTTGAGAGGCTGCCAAGACACTTCAGGGGAAAGAAGAACCTTTTTTCAACAAATGGAGTTGGGGCAACTGGATATCCACATGCAAGTTACATACCATGCTTACAATTTAACACAAGATGGCTCAATACTTAAATGTAATAACAAAAAGCATAAAATTCCTGGAAGAAAATACAGGAGTGGGCCTCCCCGGTGGCGCAGCGGTTGAGCGCTGGGTTGCGAAGCTGCCCGCGGCCTCTGCGGCACCGGTTCGATCCCCGGCTGCTCCCCGGCCACCGGAGGAGGGTCCCACATGGCGCGCAGACCTCTCCTGCCGCCCGCTGCTCCCCTCAGCAGTGTACTTCGGTCCTTCTGCCTGCTCTGCTCCCCGCTCTGGCTCTGGTGAATTCTCTCACCCTCCCGCGCTTCTGACTGTACCCAGTGCATGTATAAACAAAAACAAACAAACAAATAAATAAATCATAAATAAAAATACATGCCTCTTTAAAATAAAAATAAAAAAAAATAAAAAGAAAATACAGGAGTAAACCTTCACGATCTTGTATTGGATAAAGGCTTCTTAGATATGACATCACAAGCATCAGGGACAAAAGAGCAAAAAAAATAAACTGGACTTTGCAGAAATTAAAAACCTCAATTGGACACCATCCAGCCAGTGAAAAGACAATGCACAGAAAGGAAAATTTTTGCAAAACCTCTATCTGAGAAGGGTACTTACATCTAAGCAAATATAAAGATATATGGACTCAACAATAAAAAGTCTGTCAATTTGGCCCGTTAAAAAATGGACCAAGTCAGGGCAGACATTTCTACGTGAGGTACCACTGCACACCCACCAGGACGGCTAGGAGCAAAAAAAATACTAACAAATGTCAAAGGTGTGATGAAGTTACTAATGGGGCTATAGAACCAGGGGCAGATACTTTGGAAAGCAGTTCAGCAGTTCCTCAGAGTTAAACAGAATGACCCTAAAACCACCCAGCCATTTCACTCAGAGGTACTTACTCCAGAAAAGTGAAAAACGTATGTTCACACGAAAACTTGCACACATGTTCACAGCAACACCGTTCATAAAAACCAAAAGTGGAAAGAGCCCAAATGTCTATCCGCTGGTGAATGGACGATCAAAAGGTAGCCTATCCACACACAGCTATGCCTTGGCTATAGAAGCAGATGACTTTGCTTTGTCGATAAAATTAAAACTACTTCAATAAATATCTGAGCTTTGTTACCACTCCGACACCCACCCTATGCTCCAGCCGCAGGAATCAAGCCGAGTTCCCTGAAAGGGCCACTGTGCTCGGCCCCCCAGCCTTAGCCAACGTCCCAACCACTCAGCCACCCCCATCTCACAGGCACCCCGGGAATTCCCACTCATCCTCCAGCTTTCTCTCCCGCAGTGTCTTCCCTCTCTCCCTTCCCAGTTCACAAGCTCCCCACTCTCCAGTCATGCACACCATCTCTTCACACTGAGTCTGTGGTACCATGAGTGATGGACTATTATCACAGCATCAACCGTGTTTTGAAACTGTCTATATCCCCCCCACCCCGCACCCCACCCCGAAAGCTGCCTTCTCTACCTTGAGGACTATATTTAACTGCTGCATTGCTGACAACTAGTACAATCACTTACATACACTCAATACTAAAAACACCATAAGACGAAATTTTTATATTAATATAGTATTATGTAGCAGTGAACCCACCCTAACCAATACTCTGTCCCACTTATTAATCTCAGGAGTAAAAATTTAATCATGTGTCATGTGGAAAACTGAATTGGAGTATTTGGCATATCCTTTATAAACTCAATCCAATAAAGTAATACCTCGTTTGTTTATTGGTGAGGAAGGAAGGAAGCTTGCTGGCATAGGTCTCAAACGAGAATTCTGAAGGGCTTCTAGGAAGGTTTCTTTCAGGTGATCTGCAAGAAAATCCACCCCACTAAATTTCAAATTATGATTTTCTTATCAAGTATAAACAAATACTGAGTATAACCCTGCTATAACTGTCACATATATCCTTCGTGATAAATCAAGAACTCATTCATGTATTAACAAAATTGTTGATCTAGCCCCTAGTTACTCATGCTAAGGGATGACTAAGGAATCCAACAGAATTTGTAAAAGAATAATGTGACAGATGTACATAAAGCTGAATTAACAAAAAATTAGAGAAAAGAGCTAAGCAAATTCAGATGAGATGAAACGGAGAAAAATTACCCACATCTGTTCCAAATATTAACTAACAAGTATCATATCTAATATTTAATGCGCAATTTATTGCCACCACCATATTCTGGCAATAAAATAAAACTATAAAATGAAACTGAGATACTTGCCAATTTTAAAGTTTTGTGCTTCTACTAGTATAAGAAATAAATCTCCTTTTCATATAGTTCCTCAGGTGATCTGGAACTACAGGAGCAGAATCCCTGTGCTGAAACGCTTCCATTCCCACAAGGAGGAGAAGCCTAATACCCTAAAATTAATATAACTGCCCATGACCTCAGGGCAGTCTGCTTCACTTAGCTTCTGGATTGCAAAGAAAACAATCGATAGTAAAAGATAAAAATATATCCTTGACTATCCTTTTCCTAAATATCTGTAAACTCATTTTTCCATCTCAAAACTTCAAAAACTGTTGAGCTCAGTAACAAAGTATTAGGATGTTGAAAATGTAATTGAAAATCTAAATTGGTCTAAGTATACCTTCATTCCTGTTAATATTCTATTAGCTATTAAAGAGTGCTTTAGCTTATTTTAAAGAACTTGAAAATTATCACCATTTTAAACAAAAAGGACTCATACGAAGGACAGACTCCTATCACAATAATCATAGAATTAGGAAGCAGGGTTTCCATTCAATTTTATCAATAGTCTTACTTTTTTATATTTCTTTTTTATTTATCATTTCCCATTTTCAAAAAAAAAAAAAACCCAGAAAATAACTTCTATGAGTGATTTACCAAAATGTCTGAAACTTTATGAAATCTTTCTATATTCAACCCAAAACTAAAACAATCTTTAAAGTCCCTGACAGTTCTCACGTTCTGAGGGACGTAGGACTCAGACAGACCTGGTTTCAGTCTTGACTCTGCGGCTTACAGTTTATCCTTGGAGAAGCTAAGTAACCTTTCTGAATCTTAGTTCTCTCATTTGTAAAATGAGGATAATGATAATGTCTACCTCACAGAATGGCTTTATAAATCAAATGAGATTATGTTTGCAAAGCACCTTTTATACAGAAGTTCAATAAGTGGTAACTCATTTCTACAAAAACAAGCACAAGGAATCAAGTGATATTTCAAGGATTCAGAGACAGTATCTAGACATCTGGAATACCGCAGCATTTGAGAAACATCACATATGCCACTAGTAACAGTTATCCTGAAAAATATATTTTAATTATTAATATGAAAAAATATATTGAAATTAATTTTTCTAATTTGGAGATTGTTTTTAAAGTGCTAGTTTAAACTGTTCAGCTCCAGAGCATCTGATTGACTGGATGCTTTGTGAGATTTGCGTTCTTAACTCTAGATTACAATGGCGTGAAATCCTACTTCTTACCAGGTAATTGTGGGTAAATTTTCTCAGCCATGTATTCTCTTAAGTTCCTTGGCAATTCTCCTTGAATGTCAACAAGCACTCGAGTTTCATTAGATGAGATCTGGTAGATGAGAACTGGCCCCCAATCCGTTAAAACAAGTTCGGCGTGATTTGCTTTAAACTGTGGTGTATCCTAGGAAAAAAACAAATATTCTAATAACTTTTAAATTTCAAGATGCCCCTTTTTTTTTTCCAATTACATTTCTATAGTACCTTCATAAGCAAGCCAACAAAATGAGATGAAATCGAAACTTTACTGGAGATCAGGTTTTTCCTAAACTTGGAAAAAAGTCCATCTGCAACAATAGTCAGTGGAGCGTGGAGTTCCTACAACAAAAAATAGACACAGCCAAGTGGTTAAAAATACACAAGAAAAGGAACATTCTTTTAAAATGTGCATGAACAAATTTAAACATAGTATCAGATGAAACTATAGAAATGTGTGAAGATAATACCATTGAAGCAGCTGTTAGGTGTGGGTTTTAAGTTAGCACATGACCCACTTTTAGAGGCACTTTGTTCAAGTCCCTAAACTTGAACCTTCCCTCAGAGCTCTATTATCCAAATCATAGGGGATAGGTTACACGCTGATGAACAGGGGAAACAACTACAAAGCAACAATAGACCAAAGAAGACTAATCTCATTGTACATTCCAATGATTAGCCAGATTCTTTTATCCTAGGACTTTCTACCATCATGTAGTGCTTTCAATCAGTGGCTAGGACTTAGAATTTTTGTACACATGGACATATGTATTTGTATTACTTTGCATTTGTGCCCCCCTAGATTACAATCTGCAGGTGGGGTCACCCTGTAGAGCAGCCAAAAAGAATCAAGAGTCTACCCTTTGATTCTTTCTCTTATGAGACCAAGGCAAGCACATACCGGAAGCTATTTTATTCTGTGTTCCCAGCGATTCTCTTACCGTTGCCTTTCTGATTTAAGCCATTTTTTATTGTATCATAATCATTTATTTTATGTTGAATCCTTCCTTTATTCTACTTTCAGTTTATCTGCTTCTTTGCTGGTGTCTATTTCTCGTGTCAGATTTTAATTCTGCTAATATAGTGAGTGGTATTTGTTTCTGTGTTTTTTCTAACATGGCATTCAAGGTACTCTAAAGAACAATGTGCTGCAATCTGAAATCCATCCTACTGCAGAGGATTTAGCGAGAACTCAATCCATTTGATGAGTAGTAAACTGGTCAGCTTACTTTTTTTTTTTTAAAGATTTATTTATTTATTTATTTATTTATACAAGCACTGGGTACAGTCAGAAGCACGGGAGGGTGAGAGAATTCACCAGAGCCAGAGCGGGGAGCAGAGCAGGCAGAAGGACCGAAGCACACTGCTGAGGGGAGCAGCGGGCGGCAGGAGAGGTCTGCGCGCCAAGTGGGACCCTCCTCCGGTGGCCGGGGAGCAGCCGGGGATCGGACCGGCGCCACAGAGGCTGCGGGCAGCTTCGCAACCCAGCGCTCAACCGCTGCGCCACCGGGGAGGCCCACTTTTTTTTTTTTTTAAAGGAATAGGAGACAAAGGAGAAAAATCGCTTAGAAAAACCTAATTGATAGATCTCACCTTGAGGTCTCCAGTTTCTTTATCCTTGTACTGAACTCCCGAGATGGCATCATCTTCCTCTAACAGCTGAAGCACCGTGCCCTCAATAAACTTTGTGCTAAAAGATAAATAAATTCTATAGTAGCACATGAGACCAAATGGAAGGAATGACACATTCACACACAGGTGAGAAAACAGAATTGGAGTTTATCCACTAAACCTCACACAGTAGCTGTTTTGGTCAGAAGGATATACAATCTTTGTTATATTTTTGAGTACTTTTCCACTTTTCTACAATAAATATACATTCCATTTCCATAGAGATCAAATGCTTTCATTCTCTAGGGTAAATCCACTTACTTCTTCACTTAAGCTTTTGTCACTGACATGACAAACTTCCTCAGTTATAGTACATAAAGGCTAGAAGCGCGTATGCAAATAATGAAAAGAAGCAGATCCTGTCAGCTAAGTCCTTAGTAAAATCGGAACAGGGATTTTCCCAGGAAGCCCTGCGCCCTGACTTACAACAAGCATCATAACCACAAACATCAACACTCACAACAACTACATCCTCTCAGTTCCAATCCTTTGACTAAAGGAAAATTCATAATAGTTCTCTGTCATTCAAAGGAAAATTCTCTACGATCTTCTTCTGAAGTGCTAACATTCTTCTCACTTATGGCTTATTGCTATATAGTATCTATGTTCTAGACAATACCCAAACATTATGAACATTTATAAAACAGTATCTGCACAAAGGTCAATGTTAAATGTGTTTCTTCGACAATACATCTCTGAAGCTGGAGTCTTACTTGGGTTCTGCCATCGCTGCTTTCCGGAGACTCATGATGAATCTTCCATGATGGAAAGCTCTTCCACTCTGCACTTGATTGTTTTCTGACAGAGGAAAAGGAATCTGAACCTCTGATTTGCTATCCAGGTCATGAATTATGTAGCCATTTATAACATGGGCATCTATACCTTCCACTGTATCTGCAAACAATCCAGTAGAAAAACATCAATTTGTAATATGCCCAGAGTTATAGCAGGCACAAGGGGACGTGGAAGCATCAAAAGTGATGCCTCCTAAAAGCTATGATACCATTTGGAGAACCGGACATTAACAAAACTATTCCAGAAATCTTTTTTTTTTTTTTTTTTTTTTTTTTTTTAGATTTATTTATTTATTTATACAAGCACTGGGTACAGTCAGAAGCGTGGGAGGGTGAGAGAATTCACCAGAGCCAGAGCGGGGAGCAGAGCAGGCAGAAGGACCGAAGGACACTGCTGAGGGGAGCAGCGGGCGGCAGGAGAGGTCTGTGCGCCATGTGGGACTCTCCTCTGGTGGCCGGGGAGCAGCCGGGGATCGAACCGGCGCGGCAGAGGCCGCGGGCAGCTTCACAACCCAGCGCTCAACCGCTGCGCCACCGGGGAGGCCCTATTCCAGAAATCTTAATGCTTCTGGAAAATAACAGTCTTAGCAAATTTGTAATATTACCAAACATTAATATTGACATGATTTATGTATTAAAATCATGGGGAAAATGTTAAGAGTTTAATAATAGTGGGTGAAAAGTATATGGATGACTCATATTAAGCTATATGGAAATAGTGAACGTACCAGGAAAAATGATCAAAACTTGATTCAAAAAAAATCAGTGAAACAAAATTACAACAATAAGATATACACTATTATTATAGAAACAATAACCTATCAAAGTTGTGGGTGACAGGATGATAAAACTGATAAATTTATGTATCATTGATCATAGTAAAAATTTGTAACATTTAGAAAATAACCATAAAAATAGTTACACAAATCACAAAGAAGTTAGTCTCTTGATGTATCAATCTTAGTCTTAGAAATTCATTTAAGATATTCACTCTAAAGATAAAATTTTTAATTATGTATGATTTAAAGTTATATACAAAAATAAGTTCACGGTAGTTTTATCTCTAATGAAAAATTACTGAAAATACTAATTAATCTGAGTTAGAAAAGCAAATATGTTTATACTGAGTGAAAAAGTGGACTTTAGCATGTATAGTCACTAAATACATTAAAATATAGTAGATGAAATATGAAACAACTTTGTGATAAAAGAAAAACTTGATAGTAATTTTATCACACATCTATGCTAAGATCAAAATAAGTTTGATTTTAATGTTTCTATTCTTATTTTAAAGTCCAGTCAGGAACAAGCTGAATAACTGTCAGACCTCAAAATAAATTCAGTCTTTGGTATGGTTTCTAAAATATTACAGTTAAAATTCAGCCAGAGAAAACTACACAGATATCCTCAAAGCTGCCAATTGGGATCTCATGAAATTATCAATCTTTACTGACCTAAATGTCTGACGCCCACTAGTATTTCTGTAATGCTCTGTCCATCTACTCAGACAACTTGTCCTTCCTAACCTGTGACTCTGCTACCGAAGTGCCCTGCACGCCAGAGCTCACCGGCTCAGAACAGACAAAAGCCCAGGACCAGAGCAGCACTCTCCCTTGGGTGAAGCATCTAGCACAAGTCCGGCTACTATCGCTTGAAGCGTCTGTCTCTCTCTTTCACTGACGAAATCAAATCTGACAACCCTGGGCACCGGCCTTCCCCAGCAGGCAGGAGACGGCGCCTCCACCCTCGAGAGCTCTGCAGGCACCACCCCAGCCCCCAGCCCCCGTGGGGTCCCCGCGCCCCCAGCCCCGACCCCGACGCGGGGGCTTCCTCCGCATTAAAAACCACAGAAACGCTGACTAGAAAAAGGCAAGTTCAAAAACAAAACAACAAAATACCCAAACCAAAGCCTGCGCCTGCCGTAAACGCAAAGCATGCAAGGCCAGGACACAAGGCGCGCCCCGGGCCTCCGTCAGGGCCACACAGCCGGAGAAGCGGCCAGAGAAGCGCGAGGCCGCAGGGGCTGCGGGGCAGGAGAGGACACCCCGGTCCGGGGACCCCTGCCGCGCCCCGGACTCCCGGGGGCGGGCGCGGGCACAGGCGCGGGCAGCGGCGGGGAGGCCTGGGCTGCCCGCACTGGGCGGTGACCGCGGAGGGCCCCAGCACCACCCTCTGGCGCGCCGCGGAGGGCACCTGGGGAGGCGCCCCTCACCCCCGAGGGAGCCCCACATCTGCGCTGAGGGAAACGCCGCGCCCAGGCGCACCCGGCTCAGCAGGCGGAGGTCCGGGAGCGGGATGGATCGCGGGGCCACAGGGCGCCCCGCACCTGCCGCAGCTCCCCGGCCTGCAGCTGGGGCAGAACCAGCCCGATGATGGAACGGTTATAAAACTATAAAAAAGACCAAACGCGCGTTGGTGGCAATATGTGGTGTGACGTCTGAAGCTCAAACTGAGTCTTCAATATCTACCAATCAACCTTTATCTATACAGTTAAAGCATCAACCAGGTCAGGAATAACCGTCACGGAACACACACAAGGCTGAGCCCACGACTAGACCAGCGAAGGGCCTGGGGACAGCGGCCGGAGTCAACCCTCCATTCGGCGCCAGGGTCATCTGAATCATAATCTTCATGGGCAGTTTTTTTTTTTTCTTCATGGAACTGACAAAGTAATTCTAAATAATGTACAGAAAAGCAAAAAGGCACAGAAAGCCAAAATAGGCCTAAAGAAAGTAAAGTGGGGAGGAGGTTTCCCGAGATACTGAGCCTCAGTATGAAAAGGCAGAGCATTTAAATCATGACACGTGCATGTGAAGAGTTCTAGATACTAACCTTAAGCCACAGGGCGGTCAATTCCCCGATTACAAACCCACACGGAGTCTGTCTCTATTCTAAGTCCAAAACCCAAAAAAGGAATCATCCAAGTGTTTCCATCACCACGAGACTGGCGCTTTTATTCAACGATCTTCTCCCCTGTCCTCACACCCTCCCTCCTCTCGCTGCAGAAGCCAGGTTCTCCTCCCCCAAGGGATTTTTTCCACTTGCTACTACTTAGGCCTGGAAGCCTTTTTTCTCCAGACAGCCCCTTGGGCTCCTTCTGCGCCTCCCTCAGTTCTGAGCTCCCGCGTCATCTCCTCTGAAGACTTCCCTGCCCCAACAGCGCTATTTGCAATTACACAGGCCCTCAACTCTCCTCGCCCTTTTCTGATTCTTCTCGAAAGCCCCTGAAACCGTAACATGCTCTACATTTTATTATTTTTAATCGCCACCCTCCACACTACCCACCAGAATGTGTGCTCAGTGAGGGTTGGAATGTCTGTGTTTTGTTCACGACTATGATGACCGTAGGTAGCTTCAAGACCAGTTCCTGCAGCGTGCCAACGCCTATCCATGCCTTTTGTCACCTCCTCCTCTTGACCGTCAGCTTCTACCTCTACCTCTCTACTCTGTCATCTCCATCACCATACATGTCCCAGTACTGCACCTGTGCCTTGCGCTACTGCAATGCAGATGTCAAAATATTTAAATCTCCTACTCACTTCAGCTTTGCCTCCATGACTCGACTGCAACATCGTGTCAACCTCACCAGCAACCTCCCAGTTGCCAAATCCAATGGCCATTGCTCTACCCTCATGGACTTGACCCTTCAGAAAGCAAAGTATGACACACCTGCCCTTCCCTTTCCTTGATACACGCCCGCACCCTCTGACGAGAAACATCCTCCTTTCTTGGATTAAGTGACACCACGCCCTTCTGCCATTCTTCCTGCTCCTCTCAGGTTTCTGCAGGACTCCATTCTTTTACCCGATACTTAAGTAGCGGCTTCCTGTTTCCGTTTTTCCCTACACATTCTCTGCAAATGGTCTCAATCACTGCTGTGCTTTTTGAGTGCTCCAAAAATGCTGATATCTCTGAAACAAAGCCCGGTCCACCCAAACCATTCCTCTGCCCTCTAGATTCATATGCGCAGCTTAATATCTCCACTTGGTCATCTCGGCATGTCCCCCCAGTTCCCTCTAAGGCCTGCCCCTTTCCAGGTCTCCTTACCAGCCAGTGGCATCGCTCTACAGTTATTCCAAGCAAAACCTCAGAATCGTCTCCCACGCCTCCCTCTTCCTCACATCTCACTCCAGTCCTTTCAGTTATGCCACTTTCTTTCTCTGAATGTTATCCTGAATCTCTCCACTTGTCTCTATACCCTCTGCTTCCAGGCTCATCCAAGCCACCAGGATCTTGTCACTGGGACTCAGCAGTGAGTGCCTACATCAGCTCCTGCTTCCCACTGTTGCAGTCTTAACAGAGTCTACACATTCCCCGCGCTGTAATCACATATTCCTTTCAAATAGCATTCAACAAGTTGCAGAGTGTGACTCAGTGGTAAAGGGGGAAATGAATTTCGACTTGCTAATTATTTCAAATATTTAAAAAATAAAACAAACCAAATTTCAGTCAGGTTTATGTACGTGTGTATGTGCTAAGTCAGGATGTAAAATGTGTCTGGTATTCTGAGAGGGTGTCAAAAGCATTCAAGTCCCTTCACAGTTTCACAAGACCATGTCACACTCCTGGTCCAGAGTCTACAGTCCCACACAACCGCCCAACCTTAATCTCCAGCCACCCTTCTTTCCCCCCCACCCATACCTTATAGCTAGCTATACAGGTTCAGTCCCTTGGATAAAAATAGCAAACATACACTTAGTGCTTACTACATACCATGCACCGTTTGAATGCTTTGTGTATATGAGATCATTTAACCTTCACAATAGCCTATGAGGTAGAAGACTCTTAGCACGCCCATTTGACAGAAAAGGAAATGGATACACATGAGGTTAAGTAACTTTGCCAAGGTCATACAGCTTTTTAAATGCCTGAGCTGGTAACTCAAATCTAGTTCCAGAACGAATGCTCATAATTAGTATGCCATACCACCTACCGCACGTGCCAAGCAAGCTCTTTCTCAATTGTGTCACAGCCAGGGAATATTTTACACTCTGATCCTCAAGAGTAAACAGTTCATCTGTCCTGTTCACTGGTAGGAGAGCACCTCACACAAAGTACACAGTGAATAAACATTTCAAAATGAACAGTGTTGAAAAAGCATTGGTTTAACGGATGAATGATGCTTGAATAAAAGTTTTCATTGCAGGCACGTTAACATGTACTCTACATAGGAGAGTTCCCTTCACCTTTCATTCATTCTAGTTTTCCAGTCCGTCCTTAATTTTGACTCTTACAATTTTTTTACTACTTCTTCCTATCTCACCAAGTCTACTTTATATTTCCTCATATCACTAAGTGCTTACTTTGTCCTTTGCGCTCATTGGTATGCCAAATTGTTGGTAATCGAATATGGAAACTCTCATAAATGAAAATAACAAGGAGTATCTTTCTAACTGTCACAGAACAGTCTAAATAACAAGTGCTTTCTTATTACACCACACAATTCCTAAAAATCAATGCGGACCTACCTTCAAGACCAAGCTCTTTAAGGCCATGATAACCACCGGGCTGCAGAAATTCTCCAAGTATCCTGTCAGGCTCCTTTAAGTCTCTCTCAATTACTGTCACCTTCCTGCCATCTCTGGAAAGCACCGCTGCCAAAGCAGACCCAAGTACCCCAGATCCCACGATGATCACTTCTGGATCATGCTGAGAAGTAGTAGCTGTAGAGGCAGTGGATCCTATTAAGGCTGGTTCAGAAGTGCTAGGTCCTTTTCTGCACTGTTTACAAAAGAAGAATTATGTATCCGCATTTGTTCACCTCAAATCACACCACGAACACACTGGACAATTTTGCATCTTGGACAAAGCTACATCCTAAACATTATCAAACCAAATGAACTGTTGCATTTTAAAATCTGGATCATATATAAAAAAAACTAAAGATACCAAAATATTACTTAAAATGAATGATATCCCAATACAATTAAATATATATTCCATTTTCTAAATACATGTAGAAAATATTACATGTATATTTAGCATATTTAGAAATCTATAACAGCCCACATGTAAAAAATATTTATAACGTCCAAAATATTATCCTTAGAATGTAAAGTAACCGTTACCACAATAAAAAATGTAAAGAAAAAAATGTCTATAAGGTGCCTCAAAGATTGATTACAGGGAAAATCCTATCACTAGTTACTCAAGTCTTCAAATACGTGCATCCATGAGAACCTAGAACATGAAGTCAAATCAGAAATTGTATGTGATCTGTATCTCATGTATCTCATGGACACATACAACTTCTGATTTGACTTCATGCTCTAGGTTCTGCAAGAACCTTTGAGTATTCCCCGGAATTCACTTCCATTTCCTCCTTTTGGATTTTCAGGTGAAAATTCTACCTTCATCTAAAATCATGTTTATGTCACCAAGACTGTCAAATCCCAGTCACTGACCTATTAACTGGGGGTTATTGAACTCAACAAAACTGCGAAATAACAAAATCACTCATTCTGTACCTTGTGATGTAACCTGTTCGCAATTTTAGTTATTAACCTATAAAAACATATTTAATTTACTCCTTCATTTTTTCCCCATCCTGATACTCATGAAGAAAAAGCTGGTCTAATAGCTGGCCCTCCAATTTAGGAATAAGGACAAACATTAAACCTACCACTAGTTAGGCAAGGCAGTAAATACTTTACACCTCATCATCAGAAGACGAAAAGGTCCTCATTTGAGAGATTTATGCCCACTAAGAATGACAGTGCCTTTGGAGTTTTTCTAAAGAATAATTCAATGTTGTACTAAATACTTTTTTTCCTGGCACATGGAGTCACAAATGTGAATACATTTCAAATACAGAATTGCAAGGAACCACCTTCCTTGAGCTCCCTGACTTAATGATTAAAACCAAATGCCGTTTTGAAAGATCTCAGGTTTCACAGGGAGATGAAGCCTAAAATCCTTTAGAACTAACTTTATGATTGATTCTAACACTCATCTAGCCTTCCTTTACCACCATAACAAACTGGGAACTTGCACATTCCATTTTTTTATCTCTTAGAGAAAATTTCCATTTTGTCTTTCAAGAAGACAGTAGAATCTACTCTTCCCAATCAGTATTTCTTCATGGTCAGAACAATTGATTCTACTTAAATGATTGTTCTGAGAGCCTGTTTTGTCATCTTGGCCTTTTTTAAAAAAAAAAAGATTTATATATTAATGCATACAAGAACTAGAGTATAGGCTAGAGGTGCGGGGGGTGAGAGGATTCCCCAGAGAGAGTGGGGAGCAGAACAGGCAGACCCACTGAAATACAGCGCTGAGGGGAGCAGCAGCAGGAAAGGTCTGCTGCACCATGTGCCAGCAGGGTGTCAAACTCTCCTGCAGCAGTGGCTGGAGACAGTCTTTAACCCTGTGCCACCAGGGACACCCATTGGCCATTTTTTATTCGTTTTCCTTCACAAAATTTCCCTGCTAAACCAGAAGTGGTAAAAATTGCACACTGGACCTCTCCAGTGTAAATCTTGCTAATTACACTGCAGATACAGTAAAAGAGTATAGACCTCAAACCACTGGGAGTACATGGCTTCGTAGGCCATTCCCCTAACTCCAAATCATTATCGCCCCCACCTGCCCTGTCGCTATCAGTCTCCCAGCTGATATACCTCTTCCAATCTTGTAGCGCTACAACGAATGCTCCACAGAGCAATGGGAATACTTCTTAAAAAAGTAAAAATCAAATATTGCTACACGCTTAAAATCCTCTAGTGTTCCTGGGGGGGGGGGGGAAGCCCCAAACACCAATGGCAAACAGGCTCTAAATGTCCTGGTCTTAACAAGCCTGGCCCCACCCCTACCCACCCCAGCCCTCCACTAGGGTCTTTGCAGGGACAGTATCTCCACACACACTGGAAAGTCAGCCTCGGATGCAGAAACATGACTGAACTGTGGCCATAATTCACTTAAGACACCACTGCACTCGTTTACTCAAGGCTCCATTGATGTGGGAGAGAACAGGGCAAGCTGCCCAGCTTCAGCGTTGAACTTACTCTGCCAACCTCTCAAAGCCGGACTTACCTGCGGTTTTTCCCTTTTCCTTTCCAGGCACAAGCAGTCCTTACCCCAGGATTGAAATAATTTTCCTCATCACAGAAAGCGATTGTCCTTCCAAACGAAATTCTAACATTTCATTTCACCTTTCAAGATCCCATTCAGAGTCAGAATTAAATCACAGAGTCAGAATTAAATGAAGCAAAAGTTTCCCACCCTTCCTCAGAGCATGAAGGATGCAGCCAAGAAAGTCGGGAGTTGTAGGAACAGTAAACCGAATGGGAATTCCTACCAGGGGATCTGTTATTGGTGATGGGATTTGGAGTTCCCAGTGTCTTTGGCTTTGACCTGGGGTGGGGGTGGAGTCCACAAAGCCTATATGGAATTTGCTTTGGGACATCCTTTTCCCCCTAACAGATCGACATCGCGACCCCCTGCCCCGGGAAGGAGAAAGTACAATCTGTGTGACCCCCCCAATCCGAGTGTTTAAAACAAGACATTCACTCGTCCCACTCTGAACTCAACCTACCCTCCTAGATCCGAGCTGCTCCTTTTTCTCCGACCCCGGCGGGGACCGGGCCCACAAGAAGCCGATGAAAGGCAGCGCCGACAGGACCGCGGACACGGCGGGGCGGGCGCGGCGGGGCGGGCGGCGGGGGGGCGCCTGGCGGCGGCTGCGGCAGCGGTAGGACAGCACGAGGCCCAGCGACAGGAACAGCAGCGCGCACAGCAGCAGCTCCTTGTTGGCCAGGGTGACCAGGTCCCCGCATTTCTTATAAAAATAGGTGAAGGTGGCGATGCCCAGGAAGGTCCACATGGCTCGGTCTGCTCCGGCGGCGCCGGGTCCGGGCGGCGAGCCCTCGAGCCCCGCGGGCCTGGGGGCGTCCAGGGGGTCTCCCCGAGACGGGTCGCGGAGAGGGGCCGGCCGAGGGCCAGGGGCGGCCGTCGGGGGGGAAGCTCCCGCCGGCCGCGGCACGAGCCCGCGGGGGAGGAGGCGACGGCTCGGAAGGGGGCGAGTCGCGCGCGGCCGAGGGCGCGTCACGCAGTCGCCTCCCGCCGCGGCTCCGGGGTCCTCGCGCGGCTCCCCGGCGCTCCGTCCATGCCCCGCGGCCGGGGCGGGTGTCCTGGGGCCGTCGCGGGCGACGCTTCCTGCAGACGCCGCCGTCGGCTGCTCGCGGGGCCGCGGCTCCGCTCACCTGGCGCAGGCGCCCTTCGGGGGAGACGGGTCTGGGTATCGCCGCCCGCCGCGGCGCCCGCGCCTCCCGCCAGCGATGCCCGGGCGGGGCGGCGACGCCCGGGCCCACGCCCCGCCCGGCCTCCGGGGCCTCCTCCGGCGGGGCGCCCCGGGTTCGAGCCCGCGGCCGGGGCGGGGAGAGCGGGTCGCGCCCGAGCCCGCGCCCTGCGCCGCCCGGCTCGCCCGCGCCTTCGCGTCCCGGCGGGCGCGGCGCCCAGCGGGCGGCGGCCGCGGCCCCCCTCGGCCCCCTCACCTGCATCCCTCGCGCCGGCGGCGGCCTCGGGCGCGGCGCTGCCGCAGTAACCAGAGCAACGGCCGCGCTCTCCGCACGTCGCCGGCCTCGCGCGCCGCGGCGGCCCCGGGCTCGGCCGGGCGGGGGCCGGGGGCGGGGCTCCGAGGGCGGGTCCCGCCCCGCCCCACCCCGCCCCGCCCCGCGCGCCGGCCCGGGCCCCGCCCACCGCCGCCGCCGGCCAATGAGGGCGCGCGCCGCGCGGTAGGCCGAGATGGCGCTATGGCGCGCTGGGCCAATCGCGGGCGGCGCGGCCCGCGCGGCGACGCCCCGAGAGGCGCTAGGGCGATGTTGCGTGGTGTGGGGCGTGGGCGCGGGCGCGGGGAGGCGCCCCTCGCGGGGTCCGCGCCGCGGCCCTGGGCCTGGGCTCCCGCCCCTGCCCCGGGGAGGGGGCGCAGGTTTCGGGGAACCCCGCCGGCCCCGCCCCCTCGAGCCGCGAGGCCGCCAGGCGTGCATCCCCGCGAGTGGGGCGCCCGCGGGGTCCGACGCCGCCGGGGATTCGACGCCTCGGGCGCCGGGACTGGCGGGTGCGGGGTGCAGGGGGCGCTGCGGGGGGACTGGCGGGTGCGGGGTGCAGGGGGCGCTGCGGGGGTACTGGCGGGTGCGGGGTGCAGGGAGCGCTGCGGGGGGACTGGCGGGTGCGGGGTGCAGGGGGCGCTGCGGGGGGACTGGCGGGTGCGGGGTGCAGGGGGCGCTGCGGGGGGACTGGCGGGTGCAGGGGGCGCTGCGGGGGGACTGGCGGGTGCGGGGTGCAGGGGCGCTGCGGGGGGACTGGCGGGTGCGGGGTGCAGGGAGCGCTGCGGGGGGACTGGCGGGTGCGGGGTGCAGGGGGCGCTGCGGGGGGACTGGCGGGTGCGGGGTGCAGGGGGCGCTGCGGGGGGACTGGCGGGTGCAGGGGGCGCTGCGGGGGGACTGGCGGGTGCGGGGTGCAGGGGGCGCTGCGGGGGGACTGGCGGGTGCAGGGGGCGCTGCGGGGGGACTGGCGGGTGCGGGGTGCAGGGAGCGCTGCGAGGCCCGGGCCGGGGCCGCCGCGCCCGGAGCGCGAGAGCGGGAGGCGGCGTCCGGGGCCCGCCCCGCGGGGGGGGATCCCCGGGCCGCGGCGCCCCCGGAGCTGAGGCGTGGACGCGGGGGCCGGGCCCGAGCGGGAAGCGGGAGGGTCGACGACCCCGGAGGGCGGGGCGGGAAGCTGGGGCGCGGCGGCTGTTCTCGCGCGGGAGGCGCCGGGCAGGGCGCGGGGAAGGGCCCTGAACTGTGTCCAGGACGAGCGTGGAGAGGAAGCGACCAGCTTCCAGAGGCCCGGGGAGCGGTGCCCTGGTTATTCAGTGATGAAACTTTCCGGGGCGTCTGAGCCTGAGCTCAGAGCCTTCAGAAACCCTGTTGCTTAACCCGGGATTATATATGCAAATCCCGTCCACCTTCTGGAGCGTGGCGGTTGTCACGTCTTCCATCAAGTCTCCACTGAGTCTCACTAGGTCACAGAATGGTTCATTCATACATTATCGTCCTGTTATAGGACAGGGAGAGGGGCACCCCAGACCCCCACAAACCTGCCTATTCTAAATGGGTTCTGCCATCCGCCGCATCAACACAAAACATATGACACTTTAATGGGAAGGAACTTTAATAAAAACTAGAAAACAATACAGGAAAGGCAAAGAGTCTGGTTTCTAAATGAAGCACCCAAAGTGACCCGTCCCCTCGTGGGTAAAACTCCATCCATATGGGGTCGGCCCAGAGCAAGGCCCCAAAGCCTGCCACAAGTCTAAAGCATCTTCCAGTGGGGACCCACAGCAAAGGGTCACAAACAACCAGACAAGCCCGGAAGGAAAAGAGCAAAATCAACATCAAGATAAAAGCTGCCATTGTCACCTCCCCACGGGTCTCACCCACATCTGTGTCACCCCATCCACGACCAAAAGACAAGCGCAGTTTCTTCACGTGTCTCTAGGCTCCATGCGCCTCCTCCAGGTCTCCTTGCTCCATCCTGCTTCCTTCCTTAGTCTCTTCTTCAGCTTCTCTTCTTCCTGCTCAGCTCCACCCTCCCTTGGGTGGGGCAGGGAACCTCCCCCTTTCCTGGGGACCACCCTGTTACAGTCCCAGTCTCGGAGTGCGCACTTACGGTTGACTCTATTTTTCAAAAAAGATTTATTTATGCATACGAGCACTGGGCCGGAGGTGTGGGGAGGGGTGAGAGGATTCACGAATCACCAGAGACAGAGTGGGGAGCAGAGCAGGTGGATCTGTTATAGGGCAGCCCCGATATTGAACGGGTTCCTGGCTGTGGGTCCTCACCCGCGCGCTTAAAAGGACTTATGAATACTCCACTGCAGGCACACACAAAAGGTTAATAAAAGGTTTATTTACAAGGGAAAAGGAAAGAAGGAAAATGTACAACTCAGGGAGAAAATAGGGAAATAAAGTCTTTAATGCGTCCTGCCCGATCTGCCGACCTGGAAACCCAAAGTCACTCTCAGAGCTGGCCAGACGCTGCTAGCTGGTGGAGAGCCAAAATGGGGGACCCCCAAAGCCCACGTGTCTGCCTTTTATATCAACCTGGCTGCTTAACCCCACCCTCAGGTCCCACCTACCTTCCCTTTGGTGGTGATGGGATTTGGAGTTCCCAGTGTCTTTGGCTTTGGGGTGGGGGTGGAGTCCACAAAGCCTGTATGGAATTAGCTTTAGGCCATTCTTTTCCCCCTAACAGATCTACTGAAGTACATACACTGCTGAGGGGAGCAGCGGGCCAGGCAGGAGGGGTCTGCTGTGCCATGTGTGGGTTAGGGCTGGAACTCAGGCCACAGTGGCTGGCTGTAACTTGACAGTGCTGAAGCATTAACCCCTATGCCACCCGGGAGGTCCCCTGTGGTTGCTGCTCATCCTTCTGTTCCCCGTGCTCCTTGAGGGAAGGATCTGCATCTGGTAAATCAGCATTACCCATAGCTCCTAGGATGCTTTTCACTTACAATGAATGATGCACTTCTAATGAATGTGGTTTAGTAGAAAACCCACAGCTTATAAGTGATGTCATCCAAGTGATGTCATGATTAGAATCAGGAGACTAGACTCTGGCTGCCACTAACAGCTCTGTGACCTTGGGCAAGTCAAAAGTCAGTGAACCTGGGGAGTAGGAAGGGCAATGTTTTCCATTTGAAATCTAAAGTCCCTGGCAATTCTGTACCAAACACTTTACAGGATTTAAGAGAGTATGGATACCAATATCATGTTCCATCCCAAATAGTATATGTTTTATTGTCTAATAAAATTCTGTGTAGAAACAAATTCACAGACATCATGTAAAACCACACTGATTTTAAAAATAATAAAAATGATACTTAAAGAGATTAAGTGGCATGCTCGAATCACAGCTTGTAAGTAATGAAACCAAAAGTTAAAACTTCTGGTCTCCAAATCTTGTGTTCTCCAATACTAGTAATCATTAATAATTCACCTTTCCTTCATTATGAAACCAACACTTGATTATTCTTCTCCCTATGTCAAGCCACTGGGGAAGTCCCCACACTGCTGGGTTTTTCTTGAGCTGGATGAGTAATAAAAACAGTATCAGATGGGGTAGCAACGGAAGAAACGACCAACTTAATAATGTGCATGGGGGAGATACAATAATTATTCAGAGCCCGTGATCTGTTAGGTGAAAAGAGGGTAGAAGTCCTGAGTTGAAGGGGGAGGCATGAAGGAAAAGAAAGAGATGACTTCCGATTTACTTCCAAAGTAAAAAAGATGAGATTCTCAGGGAAAACATATTTAGAGGTAAACCTTCACCTGGATGACATCCCCCATTCTTCTAGTTCACAAAAGGGGAAGTAGCGATTGCTCCTAGGATTAAGACAGAGCAAGAGCTAAGAGAGTGCCAACCTCCTCTTAAATTAACAAAGGGCAAAAAACTCAGGCAAAAGTAAAACTTTTCCTTTACCTCCAGAGTCTTCATTGCTCTTAGGTCAATATACCCTCGCATGCCAGACGGGAATCTTGAGATCAGGTTTGAGAATCTTGGAGTGGTCTGTTTCCGGCACCTTCACCTAAAACATTGCTCACTGCTATCAACATTTTTGACTGAAATATACATCCAGTTTAAGAGGATTCAAGAAAAGAAACTTTGTTTAATGTGTGGGGTTTAAAACAGAAGAAAACACACACACACACACACACACACACAAAAACAGACTCTGGGCCACCCTGGTGGCGCAGCAGTTGAGCTCTGGGCTGCAAAGCTGCCCGCAGCCTCTGCAGCTCTGGTTCGATCCCCCCCCCCCCCCCCCCCCCCCCCCCCCCCCCCCCCCCCGCCGCTGGCAAGGGTCCCACATGGCGCGCAGAGCTCTCCTGTGGCGCCCGCTGCTCCCCTCAGCAGTGTATTTCGGTCCTGCCTGTTCTGCTCCCCACCCTGGCTCTGGTGAATTCTCTCACCCTCCCGCGCTTCTGACTGTGCCCAGTGCTTGTATAAATAAATAAATAAATCTTAAAAAAACAAAAAAACAAAAAAAAAAAAACAGGCCCAAGATGGAATTTGTCCTTGGGAGCAATGATTTAATACCTATGGTAGTGTCAACCTCTCACAAAAGTACAACCCTAAACAATCAATGTGGAGTTTCCTACTCAGCACCTGTTAGGTCAGCTGTATGATGAGAACCCCAGCCTTCCCCTGAGGGAAGGTGGCTTTACCTGAAACCAACTTTTCTTGACTGATAACTTTGTCCCACTCTCTTCCTACCTATAAATACCCTCCCTATTGAGCAAGCAGTATCTAAACAGTTGCTGTCCTATTCAAGAATCATTTAATAAAGTCAATAAGATCTCTAAATTTGTTAATTTTGCTTTTTAACAGTTGGAAATTGTTCTCCTGAAGATAATTCTTCACTAAACTGCTTGTTGGTATGTGAGTTCCTATACGGGTAAAATAATAGTAGGATTGAGCAACTGAAACAGATGAAACTACCCTGTTACCACGATGATTGTAATTTGATTGCTTTGTACTTGAGAGTATCGTAACAAGAATTTTTTAGGAAGTAGGTAATTTTTTAAAAGGGGCTTTTAAAAGCCACTTAATTCATCGGCTTATAGTCTGTTCAAGATCCACTTCTGAATTTGGGGTAAAAAGAATACAGGGTACAGCTTGAATGCCTGTATTTTCTGAACTAATTAAATGCTACATAATCATCACGTAAGTATGTTTGAATCTTGACATGGCTCCACCTATTGGAAAACAAAACTCAGGCCTGATGTTTAGGCAAGGAAAATATGACAAAGGCAGTCACAGAGAGGCAGAAAGTAATTAAGCACAGAGTAAATCCAGGAGAGGTACTCTGATAATGATGACAAAGGTGAACAAATAGTATAGACAGTGTTGAAAATTCTTTTTATACCCATATTAGCTCATTTTGTCCTCACAACCACACTATAACAGGTATTTTTTTTTACTTCCACATTACAGACAAGCATCAGGATGCAATGGAAAGCATCCAGGGTTCTTCTAGGCTGACAAGTAATCAAACAAGCATCAGCAGATTGAAATGATAAAAAGTCAAAAGATTTTTAATAATTACACGCTTACCTCCTGCATACTGGCTCATATGATTTCACACTCCATCTTAAATCACTCAGCTAAGACAAAGGTTAGAGGAAGAAGGCCTCCCTGGTGGCACAAGGGGTTAAGTCTTGCAGCACTCTGAAGGTCTCTGCAGCCAGTGCAGCACGAGTTTGATCCCCAGCCAGGGAGCTACCCACATGGCGCAGCAGACCTCTCCTGTCTTGCCTGCTGCTCCCCTCAGCAGTGTAATTCAGTAGATCTGCCTGTTCTGCTCCCCACTCTGTCTCTGGTGAATCCTCTCTCTCTCTCTCTCTCTCTCTCTCTCTCTCTCTCTCTCTCTCTCTCTCTCACACACACACACACACACACACACACACACACACACACACCTCCGTACCACTGGCCTGTACCCCAGCTCTTGTATGCATAAATAAATATTAAAAAAATAAAAGGTTAGAGGAAGAGAGGAGGTCAGTTATTATCTACCAAGGAAGGCACAGTAAACAAAGTATGACTGTTTTATCCATTCAAGTCCTGACTTGTTCATTTAAGAGAGATAAGATTAGTTACCCCAAAGGGAAAGAGCCTCTCCATATACACAAGAGACACAGAAACATTTCATCAAAAAGGCAAACTCCACCACCCCTAAGACTCCCCCCTCCCATGAAATAAATCTCTTGTCAAAAAGCCATATTTGGGGGTGGCAGATTTGTGCTTCCCTACACAAGGAAACTGACATATGGAGTTGTCAGACAGCTAGTAGTAGCAAGACTGAATGCAAATCTGGGAAATCTGGTTTGGAAATCTTGAAATGTCTGACTAGGAGGCATTTTTTTATTCTCCCCAGGCAAAGATTTAGTTACTTTCAAGCAAATGAAAATCACAGTTGACCTTTTCATCCCATTGCCCTCTGTTGTCTGCGTCTCTCCTGCCGTTGGCGTGCCAGGCCTAGACGTAGGCCTTTTTGAGTGCCACTCTCAATGCAGGAACAAGCCTGGACCTCCTTTCTTCAATTACACATCCTTTAAGACCCAGATAAATCATTCTCTCTTTCTCTTCAAGTTTGCATAACTCCACTCCTGGTAGAGTAGTAGTCATCCATTTCTATTTGAGATTACAAAAATGGAATCTATTTCCTGGGCTCAAGGAGTTGACAGTCCAGTAGAAATACGTATTATGCAAGAGCACACTCTTGGATATTAGCATAAAACATATAAGCATATGATACCTACTCAATGGCTGTTGAGTACCACTGTGTACAAAACACTTCACCAAGTTTGCATTTTGACAGAGCAAGCCTAGCCCTCTTAATCTATGTCAGCTCTAGGTCCTCAGATCACAAGGTTGTTAAATCTGAAGATGGAGGGTTCAATATGAAAAGGTACACTTCAAAACTTAGTGAGGAGAAAGTAGTCATCTGAAAAGCTGCACCATTTCCTAGCCTATCCTTACATCTGCCCGCCCACTGTTTTTTTTTTTTAAAGCTTTGTTTATTTATGCATACAAGAACTGGGGTACAGGCTAGAGGTGCGGGGAGGAGGGGGGTGAGAGGATTCACCAGAGACAGAGTGGGGAACAGAACAGGCAGATTGACTGAAATACACTGCTGAAGGGAGCAGCGGGAGAGTCAGGAGAGGTCTGCTGCACCATGTGGGTTGCTCCGTGCTGCAGAGGCTGTGGATAGCTTCACAGTGCTGTGCTTAACCACTTGCGCCACCAGGGAGGCCCTGCCCACCCACTGTTATTTTACCTCCGCTAGACGTGTATTAAGGCAGCAAATTTTTGTTGAATGAATCATTGTATTGCTTGAAGGAGTTATATAAATTCAAATACAGAGGCAAGGACAGTTTTGTTGTTATCATAACTTTAGGACTTGAGGGACTGGCAAGGATGAATGCACTTCACTACTGTGGAAGGGCAAATAGTCACAGCCCTTACTCACTACCTATCATGGACAGTTTAAAACTTCTGCAGCACAAAGGAGAAGACGCTTTGGTAGATCCAACCTGGATGACTTGGAATGTTGGCAGTAAAACTGTACCTCAGGCACAACTACTAAGTCTTGTGTTTGCACCCCATCTGGTAAGCTACCCAGCAGCCAGGGAGTTTCCTGCTATATTTATGAGTAGATGGATTTGAAAAGGAATTCCCCCCTTCCTACTGTGGGGTTGAACATAAGCCCCTTCTTCGAGTGGGAAAAAAATGAATAAAGTGGTCTTCTCTTAATTCAAAAGGAATCATGGAACAAATCACTATAATTAAGAATGTGAGGGCCTCCCCTGGTGGCACAGTGGTTAAGCGCTGGGCTGCAAAGCTGCCCACAGCCTCTGCAGTGCCGGTTCCATCCCGCTCCGCAGGGGAGGGTCCCACATGGTGCGCAGACCTCTCCTGCTGCCCGCTGCTCCCCTCAGCAGTGTACTTCGGTCCTTCTGCCTGCTCTGCTCCCCGTTCTGGCTCTGGTGAATTCTCTCACCCTCCCGTGCTTCTATAAATAAATAAATCCAGTGCTTGTATAAATAAATAAATCTTAAAAAAAAAAAAGAAATAGCAACTGAAATTATTTAGAAGATAGGGCATCATTTAAAAAAAAAAAAAGAATGTGAAAGGAGGGGCTGAATCCTTTGTGCTGGCAAGAAAAAATAAAGAATATCTGCTTTCCTGATTTTCAATCTAAAGAGCCAGTACTTGTGAAATTGTTTTACTAATAGAGCCCACCTTAACCCACCTAAAGCATGAATATTTGTGTTCTTCTAGAAGTTGAAGTTTGTGAACTAGATTATAAGTCACTGTGGGCAGTCATAAGCCATACTGTGGGTAGCTGGGATGGGACGTAAATTGTACCTATTGTCATTGAGCAAAGGGCAAGAGGACAGCTTCGAGGGCCAGACTAAGCTTCCGAGGAATAAGGGAGGCCCCAGAGACAGGGGCAGCAAATTCCAAAGGGGACTAACAGACACTCCCTGGACTGAGGACAGTGACAGAAAGGACACAAGAGGTAATTCTGGGCAGAGATTAAGGCAGAGTGAGTGAGACCACTGAGAACTAACCAATCACGAAGAGACTGATGAGGCTTTAGAATAATTAGGGAAAGGATGTGTTCCCTGAAGCACGACTCCATTGCGGCTTCCTTGCTCCTCCCTGCTTCTTCCGACCTGGAAGTCCCACTTTGTTTCTGTCTCTTTTCTCCTTAATAAACTTTTCCTTTTATCTATGTCTCTAAATAAATTTGCTTCTTTTCACTTGCTTGCCTGAGAGTAGGCAAAGTTCCTGCTGCGGCTTCGTGAGACCCGAACCCGGGGCGGTCTAGTGGCTGGGACTCAGCGCTACCACCACGGCCTGGGATCAATTTCTGGAATTGGACCTGAAAACCTGAAATTATGGTAACGTTATTTCTTCACATTAACTTAAATGGAACTTTCCTTTTCTTTCTTTCCTGATTTAACTGAATCTTTGGCTTATGAACAATAATAAAAAGTCAATAAACTGAATCAAATGGAAGTGCTTTCAAAAATTTGCAAACTTCCCAGGGTTCCTGAGGTTGGCCATAAAACACCCTCATTCACAATTAGGCTAAGTTTGTGCCTGTCTTGCTACTTCTGAAAATGTGAGAGGCCATTTTTCAATTTGTTTCAATTAATAGTAACTATTTGCCATTTATTTAGACCTAGTTTTAAGCACTGTGCAAATATTTACAGATCTTCTCTGATTCATGAAGGGGTTACAGCCTAGTAAATCCATCCAAAGTTAAAGTATCATAAGCTAAAAATGCATTTAATGTGCCAAAAGAGCCAAACATCATAGCTTAGCCTTCAATGTGTTCAGAACACTTACATTAGCTGACAAGTGGGCAAAATCTTCTTACGCAAAAGCCGATTTTTAAAGTAAGTGTTGGAGCCTCCCTGTTGGTGCAAGGGGTTAAGTCTCAGCACTATGAAGCTATCTGCAGCCACTGCAGCACAAGTTCAATCCCAAGCCAGGGAGCTGACCCACATGGTGCAGCAGACCTCTCCTATCTTGCCCGCTGCTCCCCTCAGCAGTGTATTTCAGTCAACCTGCCTGTTCTGTTCCCTGCTCTGTCTCTGGTGAATCCTCTCACACCACCCCCCACCCCCAAACCTCTGGCCTGTACCCCAGTTCTTGTATGCATAAATCTTTAAAAAATAAATAAGTGTTGGGTAACTCAGTAATTTATTGACTACTATACTGAAGGTGAAAAACAGAATGTTCTAATTCAAAACTTGAAGTACAGTGTCTAATGAATGCTTATCACTTTCAAGCCATAGTAAATTGAAAAATCACAAGTTGAACCATCTTAAGTTGGAGACTGTGTGTTGTGGGGAAATTCAGGGTGTAGGTTGGAGACATGGGGGTGAAAGAATTCACCAGACAGCGGAGAACAGAAAAGGCAGATTTATTCAGAATCCTGCAAGGGAGCAGGGGGCACAGGGAGAGAGATGGTCTGTAGGGGAAGAATGGCCTGAGGTTCTCTTTTGTCCTGTTTTTGTGGGCTTTCTAATCAGGGCACCATATCTGCTGGAATGTCTGGTCTTGGGCATTGACTTTTGACACAGAATGTATTTTGACTCTGCTTCCATATTCCTAGAGCTGGCCTGGTTTTTCTGGTCATGGCAGTAGGGCTTATGGCCCAGTTCCCATGGCAACCATATTGAGTCCCTCCTCTATTGGTGTCTCCCAAACTTGCCAGCTCAGCAAGGAATGGGGGCTCAGTTTTCAACCTTATTAAATGATACACTGACGCTATCTGTATTTAATCCTTACAGAAAACCTGGCAAGTGGGTAATGTCTCTGCTTTATATATGAGGAAACAGGCTCAAAGCAGTTGCTTGCCACACATAGAGACTGACAATCATGTACCACCAGCACAGCAACAGACATGGATTTCTGCCTCAACAGCAGCTGCCCAAATTTAATTATTAAACATTAAGCAAAGTCTTAAGTAAGATTTCAAAAATACTTTAAAATCTTGACCTCAGATATCAGAGTTTAAGACAATTTGGGCAACAATAAATCCTACAGAAAGGTGAATAAGATGCTTAGATAAGGGCCATAGAAAAGCCAAAGATGCCCAAAAATGTTCGCCCCTTCTCAGAAAGCAGAAAACCATCCCAATACTTCTTAAATACCTTTATGTGCTAGCTTTTGCTTTATTGTTTAACCAGGACAACACAAAAAGGCACAACTGCCTGGCCAGTATCAGATGCACCATAATCATGAAAGAAGAAATAATCCCTATGTAATTCAGTTCCCCACCAGCGAGAGCCCTTTGTAGAAGATGTAATTGACACTTTCTGGCTCCACAGTACTAATCTGCACCACTACATATTCTTCATAAATGAGATGAAATCCTGAGTATTTCAGTAGTGCTGGCCTTCCTACTCAGCTATTTTTCACACTAGCAGGAAAAAAACTGGGGCATGAGGAATATCTCAATACTTTAGAAAACATTCCCTTTAGAGAGCTGAGCGGATGGGGTCTCGGTTATCGGATCCATACACCACATAAGCCAAGTGGCAAAAGAAAACTTTTGAGGCTGAAACTAAGGAGTCTTGCTCTCCGGTGACCCACTGTCCCTAGACACTGGCTAGGATTCAATGGATTAGTTATTAGAAAAAGAAACTAGTTTATGATCTGACTGGGAATTACGTAACGAGAAAACTGAAGGGAAAGGACTCCGATTGAACATTTCAAAAGAGTTCAAGACTCCTGCCTCCTATTCTGACTTTGGCCAAGACAACGGGATTATATCACTAGATAATGGGATGGTTGAATGCAAAATATACAATCATCAGAACAGTCAATATCTAGATCCAGTGCCTTTAAAACTCTATCCCATGTCAACTCCATACTGCAGTTCTTGGAGAGCAGAAACCCACACCACATTTTCTATAGGCTTTCATGAAATATTTATGCTTTCAAGAACGCTGACTTGGAAAAAAAGAACTTTATGTGCCATGGCATCCAATGTGGCAGCCATATGTGTGGCCACTAAACACTTAGCAAGTGGTTTGTGAAACTAAGGAACTGAACTTTAAATTTCATTTTCTCTTAATATAAATTTAAAGAACCACTTGTGGCTATCCAAGTGGACAGTACAGTTCTAGATAGTAAAAAAGTTGATTTTTAGCAAAAATGCATTTAAAAAAAACTTTTTTTTCCCCCTTAAGACCCAATCAAACAGGCAGAAAATTATATTATTCGTTCACAAAAGAATCTTTCTCTAGGTAAATCCCTGAGGCTAGTTATGACTAATCAGGAAGGAAAAAAATAAGGAAATTCAATGGCAATCTTGGCTTCAAGCTCTCAGGTACCCTTATTACTGGAATTTTCCTTCATGTTTCCCTTCTTCTTTAGAAATCTATCTTACCTTAAACTTTAAAAAAATTTCTTGTTCTCCAACCCTGGCAGTCACTGGAGAGATCTAATAACCTGCTAACCTGGCTCTGCCCATCCTCTACACTGGGAGGTTGACTTTTTCTAGCTGTTTTGGCAAACAAACCAAAGAGATGTGGTATCACCATATCAGAGAACACCTTAACCGTAATGGTCCAATAAGAAAGAAGAAGAGAAAAAAAAAAAAAAAAAAAAAACCAGCCTCAAGAGGGACTCAAGAGGAAGATGAATTTGGGACTGAAAATGATGAGATGAGCGTCATTTTCCCCGAATGGTTTTTCCAAGTCCATCCATGAGGAAAACCTTTCACTTCAGGAGATGCAAAAGACTTCTCCATGTGAATTTTTTGATGCTGACTGAGGTAGGCACTTCTGCTGAAGCATTTCTCACAGTCAGTGCATTTGTAAGGTTTTTCTCCCATGTGGGTCTTCCGGTGCCTGATAAGGTTAAAGCTCTGACTGAAGCACTCACCACAGTCAGGACACTTATAAGGTTTCTCTCCTGTGTGAGTCCTTTGGTGAATCACCAGGGTGGAACTCTGACTGAAGGTTTTCCAACACGCAGAACATCTGTAAGGTTTTTCTCCTGTGTGTGTTCTCTGATGTCTAATGAGATGGGAGCTGAGGCCAAAACTCTTTCCACATTCACAACATTTATATGGTTTCTCTCCTGGCTGGATTCTGCTTTCTTCTGTCACCTTGCAGTTCTGACTCCAACTTTCTTCATATTCAGAACTTTCACAGGATTTCTCTTCAGTGTGTATTTTCTGGTGTGTAGCAAGATTTGAACTTCGGCTGAAATGTTTCCCACATTCTGTACACTGATAGGGTTTTTCTCCTGTGTGTATTCTCTGGTGCTTTATTAGAGTTGAATTACAACCAAAGCTTTTCCCACACTCTAGACATCTGTAGGGCTTCTCACCTGTGTGTGTCCGCTGGTGGCGAATCAGGCTAGAACTCTGACTAAAACTCTTCCCACAATCTGGGCACTTATAAGGTTTTTCTCCCGTGTGAGTCCTCTGATGTTCTATCAGCACATAACTGTGGCTGAAGCATTTCCCACAAACTGGACATTCATATGGCTTTTCACCTGTGTGTGATCTGTGATGCTGAATAAGGTGAGAGCTGCTACTGAAACTCTTCCCACAGTCAGGACATTTATAGGGTTTCTCTCCCGTATGAGTTCTCTCATGGATAATGAGATGGGAGGTATTGCTGAAGTTTTTTCCACATTCACCACACTGGTAGGGCTTCTCTCCTGTGTGTGTTCTCAAATGCTGAATCAGGTGTGAGCTGTTACTAAAGCATTTCCCACACTCAGAGCACTTATAAGGTTTTTCTCCTGAGTGAGTCCTCTGGTGAGCACGCAAATGAGAACTATTACTAAAGCTTTTCCAACATTTGGAACATTTGTAGGGTTTGTCTCTGATGGATGAATTCTGCTGGATAGAGGCACTAATGTGTTCCCCGGGGTCACATCCCCAGTGACCAGGTTTTCCCTCCTTTTTTCCTATACAATTTCCCTGATTCTCTGACTCACCATCATTCTCACAGGAATCATCATGCCATATCTCATTCCCATGGGACCCTGTCAATGGCATTTCTGTTGTATCTTCCAGTTTACACTTCTGTGGGCCTTCTCTTTTACAGCACTGTGAGGTTCTCCCTTTAAGTTTAAGGTTATTATGTTGAACAGTTTTCAAATTATTCTTACTTTCACCTCCTGCAAGAATAAACAAATATTCTAAATATAGTCCCTGTCTCTACCAGAAGGAAAATCTGAATTGCAATATAAGAGAAGGAATAATAAAACCTCATGAATTATTTTATATAAATTAGTTTTGAAGCTACTTTTACTTCTTTTATTCTAAGTGTTCACTAGAAGCTGGTGGGTTTTTTTTATACTTTGTAACAATACGAAGTATTCGAACAGTTGTCAAGGGGGATATCAATCTAAAAATAAGTTTATTCAACTTTATTTTAGAACACTTACAAGGAAAAAAGGGGGATTGGTGTAGGAGAGAAATTGAATAGGACATATTCTGAAGTGAAAATTGATACTACCTTAGTTAAAATCTGAGCAAATATAGAAATGAAAACAATAAATACTATTTATTAAAAATAGCAGCGTTTTTGGGCCTCCCTGGTGGCGCAAGGGGTTAAGCACCACACTATGAAGCAATCCACAGCCTCTGCAGCACAAGTTCGATCCCCGGCCGGCCAGGAAGAAACCCACATGGTGCAGTGGCCCTCTCCTGTCTTGCCCGCTGCTCCCCTCAGCAGTGTATTTCAGTCAGTCTGCCTGTTCTGTTCCTCACTCTGTCTCTGGTGAATCCTCTTGCCTTCCCGTGCCTCTGCCCTGTATCCCAGCTCTTGTATGCATATATAAATAAATCTTTAAAAAAAAATAGTAGCTTTGTATATAGTATCTCATTAATCCTAAAAAAATATGAGACATTTATTTTTAAGGAAAACAGAGGGCTGTAAAGTTAACTTAAAATCAAAGTTTGTCTTGTTCTAATGCTTTGTTCTATAGCTTGTCATATAACTTTCAAAGGTTTCAGATTATCTTGACCTCTTACCTGTAAAAGGGCTTTTCAAACTCTCCTTCTCCATGAAGCCATCTGAATCTGAAACCAACGGTTTTTGCTCCTGCTCCATCACAATTAGGTAAAAGATTAGAAATCCTGCGGAAGTAAACAGGTTATGTTTGCAGGCATTTAAAAAAAATTGTTCTTCTTTCGAACCACTGCAACATAGCAATTGCAGACATAAAATGCTGTGTGGATCATAACGAAAATAAGAAACATGGTTTTCAGAAATCCTCTTAGGAAACCTCATCCCAGATGCAAATGTTTAGAATCAAGGGTTAGCCAGATTTTTGTTCTCTAGGGAAATAATAAAAAAGAATTGAAATTTCACATGAAAGTCTGAGTATCAAGTTTCAAAAACAGAATGACTACTCACATCCATTGTCCAACTTGGAGCTTAGAAATGTTTTTTAATTGAAAAAGCAGAGTAGTTTTCTAAAAAAAAAATTTTAAAACACCAGTAAGACATTAATGAGTCAACACTCGGGTATAAGAAACAGCTAAAGAGAAAGCACTCTGCTTAGTTTAGAAAGAATGACTTGATCCTTGACAGCAGATGAAAACTTTGAAGTCAATTTCAAAAGAAAGTTATGACTTATATAATCAATAACAAGAAATTAGGATAAAGCAGGGCTAGAATAATTATAGCCCAATAATTCCTAAACATAAAAAGGAGGATAATGGGGAAATTCTTTCCTTGTTTCTCACTATGTCTATCATAGTCAGAGTATCCCTTTCAACCTAAACTTTCACCTTCTGAATTCAACTACAATCCCTGACAAACTTTACACAACTGAAAAAATGTGATCAATCACTGGTTATTTATGGACTTGGCATCCGTTTCAGGATGTAAGGAATGGCATTATTGGGGGTGGGAATATGAACGCCTACAAGGCAGCTTTACAAAGGCAAGCACATGGAAAACAAACAATGGTGTGCTTATACTTTCCACCCTATCAGTGCCTATGATGCGCCCGGCAGTAAATTAAATATTTCATACATATTTCTCACTCACTTCTCACAATAGCTCTATTGAAAGAACAATGACCAGCATGCTATAGACAAGCAATACAGATATTAAGAAACTTTTCCACAGTCATAGAAAGTGGCAGAGCAGGATTCATTCCCTAGCCTGTTTGGACAGACTTGAGCATTCTTACCTGTTCTAGTGAAGTAGAGAAGCAAGCAGAGCCGGACACAACTACAAACTGCAAACGCTCCTCAGCGAGGACCTTTACCTTGTACTATATTAATTGAATTTTTGAAAAGCAGATACGCATCCCTAGATCTTATTACCAAAGACAGTTGACATTCCCTAAGAAGCCTCACCAATTAGGGCCTTGTTAGAGGAAAAGATTGAATTACAAATACCCGTGTTTGAGTGGGGAAAGAAAAATACATCTGAATGGGAAAAGAAAGAGGGGTGGGAGGAGGAAGAAAAAAGTAAAAAGAGGACGTTGTTCAACTGGAATACTACCTTTGCCAAGTTACAGCTGCCTACAGTCTTCACAAAGGGTGACAGACACACCTGTCACCATTTTCCTTGCTAAGAAACTACTAATGTGGACAGAGGAGCTCCCGGGAACACCAGCTCAGCAAACCTGGCAGCAAACCCAAGGCCACCCAGAGTATCGCCGCCTGTCCCTGAGCGTCGCCCCTCGGCCAGGGCTGCGGACACTGTCCGGGCGCTCAGGTGCCAGGACGGGGCAGTGCTTTGGAGTACAGCGTTCCAAAGTCATCGCTTTCCCTGAAAGCTCAGTTTCAAGCAGCGCTCTCGGCGGGCCGCGCCGCGGGGTGAGGTCCCGGGGGCCGGAGGGTCCCCAGCGGCCGCGATGCTCAGGGCGGGGGCGCCCCCCCTGCGGCCACGGGCTCCCCCTCCGGGGTGGACACTGCAGCCGGGCGACTCAGCGCCCACTCCTGCCCGCAGCCCTCGGCTCCCCTTCCCCCGGAGAAGGACTCACTGTTCTGGGGGCTACACCCAAGGCGCCCTGCACCCCCTGCCGACCCCGCGGTCCCGGGGGACGGAGCCCGGCTCCTCCCGACCCGCCAGCCCCGGGGCCGAACTCTCAAACCCGGAAGGCAGACCCCGGAAGTTGCCCTGCGGGCCCCTGCAGCGGCGCCGAGCCTCTCTAGGAAGCGGGGAGGGCCGGATCTCGGTGCTCTTAACCCTTAGGCTCCCAGCCAAGAGCCAGCGCGCTGGTGGATTCCTTTGCCTTGTGCCATCTGTTGTTGGGCCCATTAAGATTCTTGTGCCTCTCACCTGTCAGGAGCCTTATATTAGGGGTACTATAGGAGCTCTACTTTCCCTTGCTGTCAGGGCATCATCAGGCTGCTCATCATTCCAAATCAAAATGAATCCAATATTTAAGTCCCCATAGTTTCTGCCCCCCACCCCATCCAGCTCACCCCGTGTTAGGCGTGTATTTAGATCTCTGTGAAATAGTGTAACGCCATTCACTCGTTTACTCAACAAATATTTCATGTCACCTGCGGTTGACTTTCTGAGCGGGTCAGCCCCAACAGGAGTTTGAATAGACAGGCCACCAGTCGAGGGACCCGCTTTTCTCCAGCTGTCACTGTGTCCAGGCATCAGTGTCGTGAGAACAGCAGCTGAGATTGTCTTCACATGGGTCTTCTGGGGGTGCTTACAGCTTTGTGCTACAAACTACTTGCCTTACCATGAGGACTTTATTATTTAAGAAATGTCTAAGGCAGGCAGTCCTGGGCTGGATTGAGCAATTTAGTGAAGTCTTCAAAAGCCCAGGCCATTTCCTCCCCTTTTCTCCATTATCCTCAGCATTTTGATGACATGTCTCCACCAGGTGTCTCACTTTGCAGCTGCAATATGAACGCACCAGCTCCTCCCATCACACCCTACCTAACACCACCATATGCAAGGAAAGAAGAAAAGGAAGGAGACAGAGAGGGTTTTTATTTTCACATGTCTTTCTTTTGTCAAGGAAAAATGTATTTTTTTAAAAACCCTGGTAGACTTCCCCTTCTGTCCCAGAACTAGACGGGACTAGACGGTTGTGATTCATCCTCTGGAACTAACTTTACCTTGCTGCCCAAACCAAACCAGTGAAAAGGGGGGTCGGACAGATAAATAAACACCCAACTGTTACCATAACAGACATGAGCAGAAACATAAACCTGACCAGAGAAGCTTCTGGGAAGCAGTATCCACAAGCTTTTTGCAGGGCAAAAGCCTAAAGGTAACCCAAATTCTCTGACCCCTAACCTCATCTGTCAGTGGACACTTAGGTTGTTTTCTGTCAGTGGACACTTAGGTTGTTTAGCTATTATGAATGATGCTGCAGTGAATGAAGTATAGTTATAGCTTCAAGATGATGATTTTGTTTCCTTTGAATATATACCCAGAAGTGGAATTGCTGAATCATATATCAACTCTCTTTTTAGTTTTTTGAGGAACTTCTGAATCAGGATTGGAGGGGCTCGGGAACTGGACCCCAAAGGGCTCTCAGTTCTTGTCTTGGTGATGAAAGAATTCAAAATCAAGACCAGAATTAGGTAGAAAAACAAGAGATTTATTGTCAGATAAGAAGGACGACAGGAAAGCTCTCTGAATGGGGAGGGGTCCTGCGTGGATAGCCATGGAAGGAGCAAGAAGGTGTTTATATGGAGATAGTGGGCATGGAGTAGGGAGGTCTGGCCAATGGGTGTCTCTGCATTGTAGCTCTTGCTGATTGGTTGAGGCCCGTGAGGTCTCCTAGGATTACTGAGGTTCATGGGGTCTCCCGGTTACTTGGCCTGCTTTCCCGAAACAAGCTCTGGTCCCTTGCATTGTGTTGCTGGGTTGGTATTCTGAACATTCAATTTTTCACTGGGTTGGGGCACTCTGACTCCAATCACCTGTTCCTCATTTAGTTTGGGGCACCTGGGCTTGGGGCACCCTGATCCTCACTGCCTGCCTATTTCCTCACCTCCTCATTCACTGCCATGCTATTGCCCATAGTGACTGCACCAGTTTACATTCCCACCAACAGTGTCTGATGGTTCTCTTCTGTCAGAATTTATCTCTATCTCTTGACAGTCCTAAGGACTGTCATTGTGGTTTTGATTTGCATTTCCCCATAAGTAATGATGTTAAGCAACTTTTTTAAAAAAAAATTTATTTATTTATGCATACAAGAACTGGGGTACCGGTCAGAGATGCAGGGTGTGAGAGACCAGAGAGAGAGTGGGGAGCAGAACAGGCAGACTGACTGAAATACACTGCTGAGGGGAGCAGCCGGGAGACAGGAAGGTCTGAGGTGCACGTGTGTAGCTCCTTGGCCGGGGATCGAACTCTTGCTGCAATAGCTGCCAATAGCTTCATAGTGCTGAGACTTAACCCCTTGCACCACCAGGGAGGCCCTCAGCACCATTTATTAAGGAGACCATCTCTAGTGCCAGCAAACACAGGGTAGGTTCACTCCATTCGAGCATACAGATAAAGAGAGTCCCAGAGTCCTCAGTGGATTTTGTAGGCTTCAGTGCTCTCTCAGGGAACCAGGTACACAGGCACAACAGGCAGGAAGGCTGGCATGCAAGGAGGCAACACGGGCCTGGCGGGGGGCCCTGGAAGGCAGGGAGGGAGGCAGACAGGCAACCGAACCTCTCAGCCCTCCATGAATCTTTATCCTTTTCTCTGGGCTCTCTCTGGTGTTCTCTTTTGTGCATTGCCTTGGGCATGGTTACAAATGGGGCGAGACAACATGTCCTCTCACTGCCATCACTGCCCCTGGTACCACCACAGTTGAAACTCTACATATGTGGCCCAAATCCTTCACTCCTCACAGAGAATCTGGGAGTTGGTTGCATCCCTCCTGAATGTAATGTAGTTTGCCAGAAATGGCACAGACCAGAAAGTGCCATTTTGATGTGGGTATTTTCTTATTTTTCTAGTATGTATGAATCACTCTGCTAGCTTCTGGTTTTCTCTTACAGAGAATTGCTCCATTTAGAGGTGGACATTCAGTGTGTCCATGGGAAAAAGGAAATTCAGGGGTCTCCTATGTTGTCACCTTTGTCTGGAGTCAGCTCCTATACCTTTATGTTGGCCATTTTCCATTTGTTACAAAGATTGTTCTAAAATAGTGCCAAGGTGGGTGGGGGGCAGGTCACTGAGTTCTCATCTCTGCGCTTACAACTGCAAGATACCACTCAGGTATATGGTACAACAATGGGATTTATAACAAAGGGGAGAATGGGAGAATAGAATTTCTAAGGCCACAAATGGCAGCCTGTCCTATCCCAGAGAGTGTCTGCATTGTACAGTAGCCTAAAACAAAGGCGACTCATGCAAGACAGCACCATTCCTGCAATGACAGCAGATAGCACACCGCTAAGTGTGGACCAGGATCTGACTCATGGTGGCAGCTGGGGGTGATGAGAATTGGGACTGTCAAGGCGACACTGCAGCAGCCAACAGCAGCAGTCCAAAGCCTGGGTGGACAGCACTGGACGCTGGACCCGATGGTGCTACATGGAATAGCACCAGGAGGCAGTGCCAGAGAATCAGAAGCAGTGGAAAGCTCTCAGAGGTGGCCAGACACAGGTCAGCCAGCCACAGGTCAGTCACAGGGCTGATCAGCACCCGTCAGCTGGTGATGGTGCCAGGAATAGACACCAGTGCTATAACTCTTAGAAATGCAGTTGTGTCGATGACAAGCAGCTCTTAGAGATGCTGGGCATAAGCCAACAGTAAACAGCTCTTTTTAGAGATACCAGGCACAGGCCCGTGGGGTTCTGTGCAGGTAGATGCAGCAGTCAGGTCTCTATGAAGGTCTCTGTTCCAGTGAATCTTCCCTATTAATCTGTCTGCGGATGTCTTTCTGGGAGTCCCTATGAATCTGATTTGAAGTCATCTGATCTGAAGCCATCCCTCAAACTGGCTACTGCTATGGCTTATATACTCTTCAGGGTCCACACTTTTCTTTTTTTTCTTTTTTTTTAAAGATTTATTTATTTATGAATACAACAGCTGGGTACAGGCCAGAGATGCAGGGGATGAGAGGATCTACCAGAGACAGAGTGGGGAGCAGAACAGGCGGATCTACTGAAATACACTGCTGAGAGGAACAGAGGGCGAGTCAGGAGAGGTCTGCTGCACCATGTGGGTTACTCCCTGGCTGGCCGGGGATCGAACTCGTGCTGCTGCAGAGGCTACGGATTGCTTCATAATTTCAGCTGTTTGATTGGTGGTGGTCAAGCTCCAATCAGATTGGCCCATTTACAATCCTGAATGGTCTCAAAAATCTTGAATGGCACCAGTGAGAGCTTAAACCTGATTGGTCCATTTATAATTCCAGGTGGTACTCATGAGTAAAATACCTTCAGCGGGGCCTTCAGCAGGGCCAGACACTCAATGAGGAGCCTTAGTGGTCAGGGGCCTCAGCTTCTGTCTGAGCCCACCAGACTGGACTGGGGTCTGCTGTGTTGCAGATGCAGTCAGAACCCTGGGGGCTGGCCTGTAGGCTGCATGCTGAGCACTGGCACCTGGCATGCCAGGGACCTCTCACCCTGTAGTAGCTGGCACTAGGGCGGCAGTCAGCCCCAGCTGCTGAGGCTCCGGGGGTTGGCCATCAAACCGAGCCAGTGAGGTGTCAGGACTGGCAGGCTAACCTATTTGCTGCCCTGCAGCAACTACAGGGCAGTTCCAAATCTATTTTCTAATCTTTTCTGTGCCCAAGGCAATGATCTTTAAAGACTGAGGTTGGCCTTTGTAGATTACGTTAGTCTGGCTCTGTTCCTTGCGTTTTTGTTTGATCAATGAAAGGCACTGACTGGAGATGAGGGGGTGTACC